ATACTTGCCCTTCAGACCGATGCCGATCATGTGCGCGGGCAGGTCGTAGCGAATGGTACGCGGTGCACGCTCGATCAGTTCGACCGAGTGCATACCGGTTTCCTCGTAGAGCTCGCGCCTTGCGGCCGGCAGCGGATCCTCGCCCTTGTCGATGCCGCCTTGCGGCAATTGCCACAGAAGCGGCGACCCGGAATATTCGGTGTTGCCTTCCTTCATCCGGCGGCCGACCCACACCAGGCCCTGACGGTTGAGGACGAGCAGACCGGCGCATGGCCGATAGGGAAGATTGTCGGCCGCGACGGGTTGGGTTCTGGTCGCCATCAATCACTGTCTCCGGTTGGCGAGAGCGGCAACGCCGACGATCTGGAAGCCGCGCTTCTTGGCGTCGTTCGCCCAGTCGGCAACCGTCGACACGGTTAGTTCGAGCGCCGAGCCGCTGCCGGCGGCATAGCCGCGCGCCGTGGCCAGCTCCTCGAGCGCTTTCAGCCGCTTTTCGATATCGTCACGGCTGCGTGACGCGTCGATGACGATATCGGCCTGAAGATAGGGAACACCTTTTCGCGCCGCAGCCGAAGCGAGTTCCGCGCCGCCGGCGGTTCCGTCATTGAAGAACAGCAGTCCACGGTAGGACAGATCGCCCAGCACCGGCGCCATGGCGGTTTCGTTGCCGGCAAAGCGCGCGCCCATATAGTTCATCACGCCCGTATAGTTGGTCAGCCGCCCCAGCGCCCAATGCAGGTTCTCGAGGTTGGTTTCCGCCGATGACGCCAGACGCAGCGTGCGCGGCCCGGGATTGATCTCGGGATAGCCGAACGGCTCCATCGGCACCTGGACGAGAAGTTCATGGCCCTTCTTGCGCGCTTCGCGCATCCAGCGGCCGAGCGAATTGCCCGTCGGCGCGAAGGCGAGCGTGATCTCGGGCGGCAGGCTCTCGATCGCACGATGGCTGCCCGTCTGCGACAGGCCAAGGCCGCCGATCACGATGGCGATCCGCTTGCCCTGATCGCCGGCCCATGGCCGTGCATAGATGTCCATCGGCCGGCGGCCGGTATCGGTTCGCACGGGCAGCGGGCCGAAGTCGGTGTCTTCGAGCGCGGCATCTTCGGGCAGGTGCGCGATGCGACGGGGTTGGCCGACATTGGCCGCCGCCGGATCGCGCACCGTTATGATCTTCGGCCCGCCCGGCGACACGCTGGCGCCATCGTCGTCGAAGGTGGGCAGCGGCAATTCGGGCGTGCCGTCATTGCCCTGCCCGTCGCCATAGACGATCTGCACGTCGGTATTGCCCGTTTGTCCGGTCTGCTGCATTGCCACAGCGCCCGTCACCGTCTGGGTGTCGGGCGCGCTGGCGGCGGTCGGCCCCGGCAAGGTCACAAGGGCTGTCTGCGGCGCCCTGTCGGTTGCGGCGATGACGGCGATGTTGCCGGCGACCATCAGCGCGACGAGCAGGGAGGCAGCAACAAGGCCGAAACGGCTGCCACGCGGTGCCCTGGACGCGCGATCCTTTGCTTTCTGTCGGGGTCTGTCGCGGCCGAGTGGCGCGTGAAGGTCGGTCATCGAACGGTCCCGGAGCGGGAAGACGGGAAACGAATCAAAAAGGCCACCGCGGAACGGTGGCCTTCCAGTCTATTGTTCGCCGGCCGTTTGGCAATGTCCGGCCCGACGGGCGGCGTCAGTTGGGCAGCGCCGTCGTCGGATCGGCCGGAAACGCCGCATGGGCTTCCTCGCCGCGCAGCAGCGACAGCGCATATTGCAACTGGTCGTCCTCCTCGGCGTCCTGGGGCACATAGGCGACCGAGCCCGAGCCGCTCTCATCTTCCTCTTCGCCCTGAATATGGCCGCGCAGGTCCGATTCGCCGCGCGCCAGTTCGTCTTCGCGGTCCTGCAGCTCCTCGGGCAGGGTCTGGCCGACCTCGATATCGGGCGTGATGCCCTTGCCCTGAATGGAGGTTCCGGCCGGCGTGTAGTAGAGCGCCGTCGTCAGGCGCAGCGCACCGGCTTCGCCGAGCGGGATGATGGTCTGCACCGAACCCTTGCCGAAGGACTGGGTGCCGACAACGGTCGCCCTGCGGTGGTCCTGCAGCGCGCCGGCCACGATCTCGGAAGCCGATGCGGAGCCGCCATTGATCAGGACGACGATCGGCTTGCCATCGATCAGGTCGCCGCCGCGCGCCGAAAAGCGCCGGCTGTCGCGATCGTCGCGTCCCCGCGTCGACACGATAAGGCCCTTTTCGAGAAACGCATCGGAAATGTTGATCGCCTGATCGAGAAGACCGCCCGGGTTGAGCCGCAGGTCCAGAACCAGGCCCTTCATCTCGTCCTCGCCGATTTCCTCGACAAGCTGCTCGATGCCGTCGCGCAGATCGTCATAGGTCTGTTCGGTGAAGGAGATGACCCGCATATAGCCCACATCGCCCTCGGCGCGGAACTTGACCGCCTGCAGTTTGATGATGTCGCGAATGATGGTGATCTCGAGCGGCGCGTCGGCCCCTTCGCGCAGGATCGTCAGCTCGATTGGCGTGTTGACCGGGCCGCGCATCTTTTCGACCGCTTCCTGAAGGGTGAGCCCGCGCACTTCCTCGCCGTCGATCGCGGAAATGAAATCGCCGGCCAGAACGCCGGCCGCCTCGGCCGGCGTGCCGTACATCGGCGTGATCACCTTGACCAGTTCGTCTTCCATCGTGACCTCGATGCCCAGGCCACCGAACTCGCCGCGCGTCTGGGTGCGCATGTCCGCCGCATCGTCGGCATTGAGGAAGGACGAATGCGGATCGAGCGATGTCAGCATGCCGTTGATGGCATTCTCGATCAGCTCTTTCTCCTGCGGTTCCTCGACATAGTTGGCGCGGACCCGCTCGAAGATGTCGCCGAAGATGGCAAGCTGGCGATAGGTTTCGCTGCCCGCGGCGTTGGCGCTCATCATCGGCTGGCCGGCGACCAGCAGCGTCGTCGCCGCGCCGACAAGGGCACCGGCGAACAAAAGGCTCGCTCTTCTAAACATCTGCGTCATGTCCTTCCTGTGCCGGCGCGTTCCCACCATCGCGCGGGATCGACCGGTCTGCCATCTTTCCTGAACTCAACATAGAGCGTCGGACTGTCGTTTTCAGTGGCGGCGGCGGTTACGCCCGCGAGACGGATCGAGCCCATGATCCCGACCGGCTCGCCACCGGCGACGAACTGGCCTTTTGACACTTCGATCCGGTCCATGCCTGCCAATACCATATGATACCCGTTGCCCGCGTCCAGTATCAATAGATTACCATATGCGCGAAACGGTCCCGCATAAAGCACCCAGCCATCGGCCGGCGCGGTCACGATTGCGTTAGAGCTGGTCTGCATCGTGTCGCCGCGGGCGATGCTGCCCAAACCGTCATCGTCACCAAATGCGGTGATTGTGCGGCCTGCCACGGGACGCTCCAATTGGCCGGTCAACTGCGCAAACGGCGTCAAAGGCGCGATCCGCGTCTGCCGGGCGGCCAGCTCCTCGGCGCGTTGGCGGCTGGCTTCCAGCCGTTCGCGTGCCGCTTCCTCGGCCTGCCGCGCGGCCTCAAGCCGCTCGCGGGCGATACGTTCTTCGCTTTCACGGGCTTCGCGCTCCGCGTCGAGACGGGCCTGCCGGGCTTCCCGTTCGGCGCGCTCGGCCTCGATCCGGGCGCGCTCGGCGGCGGCCCGTGCCGCCTCGATGTCGGCTTCCAGCGACATGATCAACGATTGCAGGTCCTCGGCCTGGGCGGCCAGCGCCGTCAGCCGCTCGTATTCGGCGGCGAGCGTCTGGGCCGTTTGCTGTTCAAGGGCCCGCTTTTCCTCGACCAGAACCGTCAGCCTCGCCTGTTCCTCGGCCTGTTGGCCTCGCGCGGTTTCAAGGCGTGCGCGTTCGTCGGCGATCGTCGCCGTCAACTGGCCCAGTTCCTCGAGATCGGAGACCAGCCTTGCGGTTTCGGTGCGCATTTCGGGAACCACCGCACCGAGCAGGATGGCGCTGCGCACGGAGGACAGCGCGTCATCGGGCTTTACAAGGATTGCCGGCGGCGGGTTGAGCCCCATGCGCTGCAATGCCGCGAGAACCTCGGCCAGAAGCGCGCGGCGTTCCCACAGGCTGGCCCGGATGTCGTCGGTGCTTTGCCGCAGGGCTTCGAGCCGGTTCTCGAGCGCGATGATGTCGAGACCCAGCTTGCGCTCGGTCTTCGCCGCCGCGATCAGAGCCGTGGTGATCGCCGCGCGGTCGGTGCGGATCGTCTCGATCTCGCGCGCCAGTTCCGCCGCCCGCTCCTCGGAGACGCCGCGTTCCTGCAGGATGCGATCGAGTTCGCCGACCGACCGGCCCAGCCGCTGCTCCATGTCGGCGGTGACCGTATCGCTGTCGGCCTCGCCGGCCGGCTGCGCGTGGACAGACCCCGAAAACGCCAGGACGCCGATCAGGAGCAGACCGGCCAGACCGGGAAAGGGCCGGCCTCGTGCGGTGCTTCTGCGGCCGGCAACTGATGCCCTGTGCCGCGTCACGCCTTTCCGACCGCCTCGCTGATCTCGAAAAGGTGGCCATCGGGGTCGCGGAAGAAGCAGCGAATTTCGGGGCCCCGATCGACCGGCGGAGTCAGGAAGATGGCGCCGCGCGCCTTGAGCGTCGCATAGGCGGCCTGGCAGTCGGGCACCCGGATGGTCATGGCATGGCTGACCCGGTTCGGTTCGGCGGGCGTTTCCATCGCCGTGTCGGGCTTGTCGTCGGTCGGCCCGCCGCCGGTGACCAGCAGCAGCCAGCTTTCAAGGAATCGCAGGACAATGGACGTTCCGCCATATTCGCGTTCGATGGATGCGCCAAGAACATCGCGATAGAACGTGCGGGCGGCATCGATGTCGCTGACGACCAGAATGTGCGTCAGTGCCATGCCTGATGCTGGAAAGTCGTCGGCCATCGGCTGCCACCTCCTGGCTGAAGAGCCTGCAAATCACGCCGGCAAACCTAACCCGGTTCCGGCCGGAAGGGAATCGGGTGCCCGCCCGCATCACTGGCGATGATAGGGATGGCCGGCGAGGATCGACACAGCGCGGTAGAGCTGTTCGGCAACCAGAATGCGGGCGATCTGGTGCGGCCAGGTCATCCGGCCGAGCGAAACCGCCAGATCGGCCCTTTCAAGAACGGATGGCGCATGGCCGTCCGGGCCGCCGATCGCAAACAGGGCGCGCTTGCGGCCATCGTCGCGCTGGCGTGCGATCCAGCGGGCAAATTCGTCTGACGAGAGTGTCTTGCCGCCTTCGTCGAACGCAACCAGCGCGGTTGTCCGGTCTTCGGCAAGCGACAGGCAGTGGGCGCCTTCATCGGCCTTGCGTCGGTCGGTGTCACTGGCGCGGCTTTCGGCGATCTCCGTGACGCCGGCAAATGTCAGGCCGACAGCCGGTCCAGCCTTCTCCAGCCGGCCGAGATAGCGGCCGGTCAGCTCGCGCTCGGGCCCGCTTTTCATGCGGCCGACGGCAAACACGGTCAACTGCATGACGATCAGGTCCGGTGCGGACGATCGGTCAGCGCTGCCTAGTGCAGCGTGTCCGCGTCCGTCTGTTTGTCTTCCGCCCACATCTTCTCGAGCGCATAGAACTCGCGCACTTCGGGACGGAATATGTGAACGATGACATCGCCGGTATCGATCAGCACCCAGTCGGCGGAAGACAGGCCCTCGACCTTGGATGTACCGAAACCGCTGTCCTTGAGCGCCCGCAGCAAATGATCGGCCACCGCACTGACGTGACGGTGCGACCGGCCTGACGCAATGACCATGTGGTCCGCGAGGGCGGATTTGCCTTGGATGTCGAGCGAGACGATGTCCTCGGCCTTCGAATCGTCGAGACTGGCCAGGACGGTTTGCAGGATCTGCTCCGCAACGGCGCGGCCGTGTGGATCAGATGGCGAAGGCCGGTTTTGAGCCTTCTTCAGGGTCTGTGTTCTCAAGAGCTTCCTTTCAATGAACACGGAACAGGCGGGCGATTCGCTGCCCACACCCGTAAAATAGTCACGGGCACCTGACAGTTTCAAGACAAGTTGGTTTACCGCCCGTTAACCCTCGGTCCGGCCCGCACGGATGGCCGTCGAGGAAAGCGGCGATCGCGGGCCGTGCAGGAAGGTCCATGCGGGCGGGTCGAGCCGCGGCAGAAGGGCCGCATCGCCTTCGTCGATCCGCGCTTGCCAGAAGGCCTTGGCCATCACCGACGACAGGAAGGAAAGCGTCGAACCGGGCCGGTCGATCACGGCGATCGGGAAGGTCATCGCTATGGTGCGCCAGTCCTGCCAGTGGTGGAACGTCGCCAGATTGTCCGCACCCATGATCCAGACGAAGCGCACGCCCGGATTGAGCGCCTTGACCAGCGCCAGCGTCTGGGCGGTGTAGTGGACATTGTAGCGCGCCTCGAATGCGGTGACCTTGACGCGCGGATCGTCATTGATCGCCTCGGACCAGGCGACACGCGTTCTGAGCGCCGGCAACCCGGCATTCTCCTTGAGCGGATTGCCCGGCGTGACCATCCACCAGAGCTGGTCGAGCCCGATCCGCCGCAGTGCCAGCTCGGCGACCAGAAGATGTCCGTCGTGGGGCGGGTTGAACGAGCCACCGAACAGCCCGACGCTCATCCCCGGCTCCACATGCGGCATCCGCAGATGCGGGCGGCTGACGCCGGCATGGTCGAACATCATGGCTGTCGGGGTCCCCTCTGGCCCGGCCAGGGCTGGCGGGCGGGCGGTTATGGCCGGATCTGGCCGCTGCCGCGCACAAGGTACTTGAAGGAGGTCAGTTGCTCGACGCCGACCGGTCCGCGCGCATGCATCTTGCCGGTGGCAATGCCGATCTCGGCGCCCATCCCGAACTCGCCGCCGTCGGCGAACTGGGTCGATGCATTGTGCAAAAGGATCGCCGAATCGATCTCTGTCATGAAGCGATCGACCGCAGCCCGATCCTCGGCGACGATCGCCTCGGTGTGATTGGAGGAATAGCGGCCGATATGATCGATCGCCCCGCCGACACCGTCGACAAGGGCGACGGAGATGATCGTGTCGAGATATTCCGTCGTCCAGTCGGTTTCGGTTGCCGGCGTGGCCTTGGGCCATGCCGCGACGACGTCCTTGTCGCCGCGAACCGAACAGCCCGCCGCGTCGAGCGCATCGAGGATCGGCGTCAGCATGGCCGGAGCGGCGGCCCGGTCGACCAGAAGCGTTTCGGCGGCGCCGCAAATGCCGGTGCGGCGCATCTTCGAGTTGACCACCAGATCGCAGGCCATGTGGATATCGGCCGAAGCATCCACATAGACGTGGCACAGCCCTTCGAGATGAGCGAAGACCGGCACGCGCGCGTCGGTTTGAACCCGTTCGACCAGGCTGCGTCCGCCGCGCGGAACGATCACGTCCACCGTGCCGCCCAGACCCTTGAGCATTTCACCGACTGCTTTGCGATCGGTGACCGGCACGAGCTGGATCGCATCGGCGGGCAGGTCCGCCGCCTGCAGGCCGTCGAGCAGGCAGGCATGGATGGCGCGTGAGGAATTGACCGAATCCGAGCCGCCGCGCAGGATCACCGCATTGCCAGCCTTCAGGCACAACGCGCCGGCATCGGCGGTCACGTTGGGCCGGCTTTCATAGATCACGCCGATCACGCCGAGCGGCGTGCGCACCCGTTCGATGTGCAGGCCGCTGGGCCGGTCCCATTGCGCGATGATCGAGCCGACCGGATCGTCCAGTTCGGCGATGGCGCGGATGCCGTCGGCCATCGCCTTGACGCGATCGGGATCGAGCTGGAGCCGGTCCAGAAACGCGCCCGCCAGACCGGAGGCGCGGCCCGCTTCCATGTCGATCTCGTTGGCGGACAGGATCGCGTCTTCCGAAGCCACGATCGCGTCGGCCATCGCATGAAGCGCGGCGTTCTTCTGCTCCGGTGTCGCAAATGCCAATGGCGCGGATGCCGCTTTCGCCCGTGCACCCATGTCGGCCATCAGGGCCGGAATATCGATGTTGGCATTGTCCGCGCGCGTCAGCATGGCGTTGTCCTCGTCTGCACGCGGTCTTTTACATGCCGCGCCCGGCAAGGGCAATGTGGCCGTCAGCCGGCCGCGCCCATCACCAGATCGTCGCGGTGCACCATGGCGGCACGCGGCGGGTGGCCCAGTATGGCTTCGATTTCCGGCGTCTTGCGCCCGGCGACAAGGCGCGCTTCGTGGGCATCATAGGCGGCAAGGCCGCGCGCCACTTCGCCCCCCGTGTCGACCAGGATCGCGACCGTGTCACCGCGCGAAAAATCGCCATCGACGCGCTTGACGCCCGCTGGCAGCAGAGACTTGCCCTGCTTGAGCGCTCTGACGGCGCCGGCGTCGACGGTGAGCGTTCCGCGCGGTTCAAGCTTGCCGGCGATCCAGCCCTTCCAGGCTGACACGGGTGCGCTCGATGCGGCGAACCAGGTCGCCCGGCTCCCCTGTTCGAGTTGCCGCAGCGGATGGTCGACCGTGCCACGCGTGATCACCATCGCGGTGCCCGCCGTCGTCGCGATGCGCGCGGCCTCGATCTTGGTACGCATGCCGCCGCGCGCCGTTTCAGACGCCGATTCGCCGGCCATTGCCTCGATCTCCGGCGTCACGGCTGCGACGTGCGCGATGTGGGTGGCGTCCGGGTCGTGCGCCGGAGGCGCAGTGTAGAGCCCGTCGACATCGGACAGCAGAACCAGAAGATCGGCATTCATCATCACGGCAACGCGGGCGGCGAGCCGGTCATTGTCGCCATAGCGGATCTCGCTGGTCGCCACCGTGTCGTTCTCGTTGATGACCGGGATTGCGCCGAACTTCAAAAGCGCGCCGATGGTGGCGCGAGCGTTGAGGTAGCGGCGGCGGGTCTCGGTGTCGTCGAGCGTCACCAGAACCTGTCCCGTGGTGATGGCATGACGGCCAAGCGCGGCGTTCCACGCATGGGCGAGCGCAATCTGCCCGGTGGCAGCGGCGGCCTGGGTTTCCTCGAGCTTGAGGGGCCCGGCCGGCAGTTTGAGGATCGTCCGCCCCAACGCGATGGCGCCCGAAGACACGACCAGCACCTCGTGGCCATTGCCGGCGAGGGAAGCCAGATCGTCGGCAAGGCTGTCGAGCCAGGCAGTGCGCAGACCATCGACCCGGTCGACCAGAAGGGCCGAGCCGATCTTGACGGTGATGCGGCGGTAACGGGAGAGATCGGCGGTCATGGTTCAACCGTCTCCGGCGAGCGGCTGCCAGGGTTCTCTCTGATCGTCCGCGTCGCCCGCGTGCTCGGCTCGCGCCGCCTCGATGACCGCCATCAGTGCCCGCAGCAACGGTTCGACGCCATCGCGCGTCGCCGACGAGACGCCGAGCACCGCCGTGCCGCTGGCATGTTCGAGCGCGGCCATTTTCTCGGCGCGCATCTCATCGTCCGCCAGATCGATCTGGGACAGGGCGACAATCTCCGGCTTGTCGGAAAGGCCGTGGCCGTAGGCATCAAGCTCTTCGCGGACCGTCCGGTAAGCGGCCGCCACATCGTCTTCGCGCGCCGACACCAGATGCAGCAGCACCCGGGTGCGTTCGACATGGCCGAGGAACCGGTCGCCAATGCCGGCCCCCGCATGCGCGCCCTCGATCAGCCCGGGAATGTCGGCCATGACGAATTCGCGCGCGTCGATCCGCACGACGCCGAGATTGGGGTGCAGCGTGGTGAAGGGATAGTCGGCGATCTTCGGCTTGGCCGCGGTGACAGAGGCGAGGAACGTGGATTTGCCGGCGTTGGGCAAGCCCACAATGCCCGCATCGGCGATCAGCTTGAGGCGCAGCCAAATCCAGCGCTCCTGCCCTTCAAGGCCCGGATTGGCGCGGCGCGGCGCCTGATTGGTCGACGATTTGAAATGCGAATTGCCGAAGCCGCCATTGCCGCCGCGGGCGAGAAGATGGCGGTCGCCGACCTCGACCAGATCGCAGATCAGCGTTTCATTGTCCTCTTCGAAGACCTGGGTGCCGGCGGGCACCTTGAGCACGATGTCATCGCCGCCGCCGCCGGTCCGGTTGCGCCCCATGCCATGGGCGCCGGTCTTGGCCTTGAAATGCTGCTTGTAGCGATAGTCGATCAGCGTGTTCAGCCCATCGACGGCCTCGATCCAGACATCGCCGCCGCGCCCGCCATCGCCGCCATCCGGACCGCCGAACTCGATGTATTTCTCGCGCCGGAACGACACGGCGCCGGCACCGCCATCGCCCGATCGGATGAAAACTTTGGCTTGGTCGAGAAATTTCATCGAACTGTTACGTTGGCCGCGCTAACGGTCGCCACCGTGGGCGCGCTGTCGTCCATCTGATACGGAGCGCAGTGTTTAGCCCATCGCCTGCGCACATGCGAGTGATAATGTCGAAAGGTTGGCCCAAATGACGGTGCGGGCGGTGAGCTACAACATCCAGTATGGTTTCGGACTGGACGACCGTTTCGATCCGGATCGTATCGTCGATGCGGTGCGCGATGCCGATATCATCTGCCTGCAGGAGGTGACGCGCGGCTATATCAAGAATGGCGGCGTGGACATGCCAGCGGCGCTTTCGGACGCCCTGCCCGAACATTTCAGCTGTTTCCACCCGGCCGGCGACCTCGATATGGGCAGCGCGCTGGCCGAGGGGCGTGCCGTCAATCGCCGCTTCCAGTTCGGCAACATGATCCTGTCGCGCTGGCCGCTTGTCACCGTCAGGGGCCATCTTCTGCCGCGGACGTGGCGGAAGGACACGCTGAACCTGCAGCGCGGCGCGCTTGAAGCGCAGATTTTCACGCCGTCCGGACTGCTGCGCGTTTACAGTATTCATCTCGATCATATCGATCCGCGGGAACGGATGGCGCAGGTGCGCGCGCTCAAGTCGATCGCGCTCGATTTTCCGACGACGGGCGGGGCGATCAGTGGAGGCCGTTCGTTCGGCGTGGAGGAGATCGACGACAAGGGCGATTTTCTGCTGATGGGGGACTTCAACTTCGAGCCCCGAAGCGACGAATACCGGCTGATGCTGGATGGCGAAGCGATCATCGATGCAACCACCGCGGATCAGGGCTGGACCTGGCGCACGCCCCACGCGGTCGAAAAAACAGAACGGTCGCGGCTCGACTACGCGTTCTGCAACACGGCGCTTGCATCGCGCATCTCCAACGTCAGGATCGATCGCGATGCGGAAGGGTCCGACCACATGCCGGTCTGGATCGAAGTCAGCGCTTGAACGTCACCTTGGCGCGGGCCACCGGAAGCGGCCCCTTGAAGACATTGGCGGTGTTGACCAGCGTGCGGCCGTCCTCGCTCAGCGTCAGCGTGTCGTAGAAGCGGACCAGGTTCTCGGCCGGACCCGGATCGAGATCGACGCGATAGTTGAAGAAGGCGCGGTTGTTGATCACCGAAACCAGCGTCTCGCCGATCACATCCTCACGGGTTCCGGTGTATGTGTTCCATCCAACCTGCGTGAACCGCCAAGTCTTGGTGTCGGTTTCGCCATCGTCGTAGACGAAGTCCTCTCGCAGGGTGAGCGTCCGTCCGTCCCATTGCCCGTGCAGGGTCAGCGTGAAGCTGCGCTCAAAGCCGGTGATCGTGGTGAAGGTGCCGGTCGCCGTGGTGCGGCCGGCAAAAAACTCTTCGAGGCGCAGATCGTTCGCCAGAGCGGACGACAGGGGCAGAAGAAGGAAAAGCGAAGCAAGGGCTGCACGAAGAACGGACATGATCACCTTCGGGGTTTTCAAACGCTTACGCGCGGCGCCCGGTGGCGGATCAATGCCACATTCCCAAGCGACGCCGGTCAGCCGTCGCGGGCCTTGCCCGCCAGCCAGTTTTCGCGGGTCAGGCGATAGCGCTCGATGGCGACGCGTCCGGCGGCGACGGTGTCGATCTCGTCCAGCCCCATCAGTTCGAACCCCTGCTTGACCAGAACCTGGCGCGAGCGCGGATTGACGGTGCGCGAGCCGGCATAGATCACATTGGCGCCGGTGACGCGAAACGCCAGGTCGACCACCGCGCTTGCGGCCTCGGACGCATAGCCCTTGCCCCACCAGGCCCGTCCGATCCAGTAGCCGACCTCCAGATCGCCGCTGGGCGGCCTGTTGGTCACCGCGCACATCCCGACCAGGCGGCCGGTGTCGGCGATGGTCACCGCATAGACATAGCCTTCGACGCGGCCCTCATGGACGGCCCGAATGTAGTTGGCCGCATCGGCCCGCGTATAGGGGTGCGGCATGCGCGCGGTCATTTCGGCGATTTCGCGGCTGTTGGCGATCACCGCCAGTTCGTCCGCATCGTCGTGCACCGGCATGCGCAGGACCAGCCGCTCCGTCGTCAGCACGGGCGTGTTCAGCGAAAACGCCTGACGTTGCTCGCGGTGGCTGTAGTCCTGTTCGTTTAGCGTATTGATCATCGCCCTGGTCCGAATCGAAAAGGGGAGCTGGTTTATGTCCCAACTCCCCTTGCAAACGCTGTACGCCCGGGTGCTGGAACGCCGGGTGTCAGTGAACCCGGTCAGTCGGCGGCCGCCATCACCGATACATAGGTGCGGCCATTGGCTTTCTTGCGGAACTCGACGGCGCCTTCGGTGAGGGCGAAAAGCGTATGGTCCTTGCCCATGCCGACATTGGTGCCCGGGTGCCATTTGGTGCCGCGCTGGCGCACGATGATGTTGCCGGCAATGACAGCTTCACCGCCGAACTTCTTGACGCCAAGGCGTTTGGATTCCGAATCGCGGCCGTTACGCGACGAGCCGCCAGCTTTCTTGTGTGCCATGGTTTTGTTCTCCTGCCGCGTACGGCCTTCAAATCGTCCGTGCCGGGCATCGCCTTCTTATGGGCATTTCCGGCGAGTCGATCAAGGGTGAAGCTGTTGTGCAGCGCACCCTCACGATCACGGTTTTACTTGACCCGTTCTTTCGCCTGCGCCTGCCAGTCTTCGATCTGCGCTGCGCTGAACGGCATGTATTCGTCGATCTTCTCGATATCGGCCGCGGTCAGCGCGGCGATCTGCGCGAAGGTCGTGATGCCCTGCTCGTTGAGCTGCTTTTCGGCAACCGGGCCGATGCCCTTGATGTCGGTCAGCTTGTCGGCCTCGCCTTTGGGCGCCGCAAAAAGCGGGCCTTCGGGCGCAACGGCCTTGGGCGCCTCGGCAGCTTTTGCCTCGGCCTTGGGCGCTTTCGCGGCCGGCGCGGCATCTGCCTTCGCCCCTTCCGCCTTGGGTGCCGCCGCTTTCTTTGCAGCCGGCTTCTTGGACGGCTTGGCACCGCCGGTCAGGATCTCCGAGATCCGCACCGTCGTCAGATATTGCCGGTGGCCCTTCTTGCGGCGCGAATTCTGACGCCGGCGCTTCTTGAAGGCGATGACTTTCCTGCCGCGACCCTGGGTGACCACCTCTGCGGTCACCAGCGCGCCATCGACCAGCGGGCTGCCGATCGTCACGTCGGCATCGCTGCCGACCATCAGAACGTCGGAGAATTGGACCATCTCGCCGGCGTCGCCGTCGAGCTTTTCCAGCGTGAGCACATCATCGGCGGCGACGCGGTACTGCTTGCCACCGGTCTTGATGACTGCGAACATCGTTTTTCCTTTCGTGTTCGGTCCGGCTCTGGCGCGCTGTCTGCGACCCGTTCCGCGCCTGGCGGATTGGAGCACGGCACGCCGGCCGTCTTCTTGTTCAGTCTGTCCGGTTGAACCGCTGTCCGGCGACCGTCCCTAGGGGCGACCATCCAAACAGTTGCGGCGCGGATTGCCCCGCGCCACTGATCGCGCTCCCTATGATCGCGTGGCGCCGAAAAGTCAAGCTGGGGCGGAAAACTTTGCGCGCTTGCGTCTTGTTTTCGCGCGGTCGCGGCGCTAGACACCGGCGCACCGTTTGCGGAGAGGTGGCTGAGTGGTTGAAAGCGCCGCACTCGAAATGCGGTATAGGGGCAACTCTATCGGGGGTTCGAATCCCTCCCTCTCCGCCATTGTTCTTATATATCGTCCTGATATTGTTGCCTTTTTTCGGCGAATAGCAATTCCGGGCCCACATTTGGCCCCACAGACTATGTGCCCTTGGTTGTTGCGACCAGCTGCGCCCGGATGAGGCGGGATTGGATGGTCTGTTGCCATGCGCAGGCAAATCAGGGCATAAGCAAATCATAATCTGAGTTTCCTCGCGCATGACGTGCTCCACCCCGATGACAGGGTCGATGCCGTCATGTCTGATGAAAAGAGCTCCTCCAAAACAAAACCGATCGCTGCCCACGAACAAACCGCAAATGGGTTTGACAAGGCTGATCTGTTCTCATTCGACCGGCCTATCGATCCGGTGCGTCCTGATCGTCCGGCGACCGGCGCAACGCAGGATGGAGCCCCCCTTGACAACGCCTATGCAGACGCGAGCCAACCGGCGACGGCACGGCGAGCTGCATCGGGTCGAACCGGTCCTTTGACCAGGTTGGAAGCGGCTTGCTCTGATCCGCCGTCGAACGCGAGTGCTGCAGAAAATGCCGTTGACGAGCTCCCGTTGACAATCAGCGCGCCCAAACCACCGTTCGCGATCAACGATTTGGTCAACGGTTCGGCCGACCAGTGCCCGGGCGCTTGTGGGTGCCCAATGTGTCAGCCGCTGATGTCGGTCAAAGCGGTGGCCTCATACTTCGGCGTCAGCGTGGCTACCATCTGGCGGTGGTGTAAGTCCGAGCCTGACTTTCCGGATCCGTGCTCGCCTGGCGAAGGTACGACACGGTGGGATAGACGCGAGATCGTGGCCTACCATCGGATATGCCTGGAAAAGCGCGCCCGATAGGTGCCGTCATGTCAAGACGATATGATCCCACCAGAGCGCGGACACATTGGTACTACACACGCGAGCATCTTTGTGAGCTGTTTAACGTCTGCGACACAACGATCACGAACTGGAAGAATGCCGGCCTGACGTCCATTGCAAACGGTCGCTTCGACATCTTCCATGGTGTTGAAGTTCGCCGACACATCTGCCGGCTGCGGTGGGGCAATGCCCGCGAACCAAGAGATGGCCGGCTCTACTGCACATCGTGCTGCCGCTTCGTGTCGGTTTTGTTCGACAGCATCGACCAGCAGTCAGATGAGCCAAGGCGCGATGCGGTGACAGGTCGTTGCACCCAATGCGACAGCACAGTGAAGGGCTTTGTCTCACAACGGCAAGTGCGCGAGGTTATTCGGGCAGCCGTTAAATCCACCGGCGACACCTCCGCAATATGAGCGGTCAGGTTTCCGGCCATGTTGCAGTTCGAGCCCGAATAGTGAGCGCAGAGACTGACAAGACCAACATGGTCTGGCTCTATCGGTACCAGCTCTATCTGACCGAGAACGCCGGCTTGGCGGTCACCACGGTGGATGAGCACCTGCGGTCCTTGGCCCGGGCCAGCGCACTTCGGGCCAACAAGCCATTCCCACGATACACGTTGGCCGACGCGACATCGGTCAAGCGGTCCATACGAGAAGCGCTGAACGATGAGGCTGCGCCGCTCAGCCTTTCGTCAGCAGCACGAATTCTTGATCACTGCCAACGGTTCTTTGAATGGCTCGACAGGCAAACGGGCGTTACGTTGGAGCCCGACCTGCCCGGCTACTTTCAACTCAATCGCAGCGAGTACCGGCAACTTGACCAAATCGCCAAGGGCACAGAGTTCACATTCGAGCAGGCCATCAGCCTGTTTCGATCAATGTCGGCCGGCGACGGCATGGAGATCCGCAACAAGGCAATCATAGCGACGCTCCTGATGACGGGCATGCGTGCGGATGCTCTGGCCAGCCTTCGCGGCAAGCATGTCGATGTCCAGTCCTGGTGGATCAATCAGGCCCCGCCCGAGGTCAGGACGAAACATGGCAAGCACATCCGCAGCTACTGCCTCGATCTCGCCGATGGCTTACGAGAGGCCATGGGCAGATGGGACCTTTGGCGCCGAAAAAACGGCTTCGGCGAGGACGATGCCTTCTTCCTGCCGGACAGGTTCATCAAGCCGAACCAGATGGGTTTGGGCTTTCGCGGGGCACAAGCTGATACGGCCGCTATTCCTTGGCGATCAGGCGACAGTGTCCGGGCAATAATCAAAACGGCTGCTGGTGCGGTGGGCTTGGACGAGCATGTGTTGGGCGCTCACGACTTTCGGAAGATCATTCACCCCCACCTTGCATCCCGAAGCGAAATGACGACTAGGCACGAAGTCGCGCTGCAGCTCAATCTGGGGCACACGCCGATCGAGACGACGCGCAAATTCTACAGCAAGATGCCGATTGGCGAACGTCAAGCGGCCCTGGAAGAGCTCTCGAGGATGGCAAAGGGCCGGACTGATGCTTGCCTGGTTTTGGCGTTCGAAAGGGGCCTGCTGCCCGACGACGACCCCGATCGCGAGCGCGCCGAAAAGGCCCACGCAAGAGCCGTCGCCGCTGCCCGGTTCGACGGCAGTTAATGCCATGGACAGTTGCGCCCGGAAAACGTCTTGTGTGCTGGTTTCAGATCGGCGCCAGTGTGTAACGTCCAAGCCCATGAACAGCGCCGCGCCCGACATGTATGCGTTCACCAATCACGATGAGTTCACTGAGCGGCTGCGAAAGCGGTCCGTTGAGTTCGATTGAACATCGCCGTTGAACACTTGTCCATGTCTGACCGCTGCGGGAAGACTCGCGCTGGACGGTGATCGCCTCTTCATCGAGCGCGTAGTCCGTGATGCAGGCGTCCCATTCCCTGCGAAGCTCTGTCAGTTGTGGCTCATCCGATGCATGCCCGAACCAGGGTGCAAGGCCGCGAACTCGTGACGCTGTCCAATCGAATAGATCGCCTGGCAGCAATGGTTGCGTGCGGGTGTTGACCTCTAGACCGGTGACGAAACGTAACGCGGCACCACCCCTGTGCCTTGAAGGATTTTGCACTTCCACCGGCCTGATGCCGGTTTCGACCACGACAGGCTGGTTGGGCAGAAGGGTCACGCCGACGTCGGCTGCAAGCAGGCTCCAAGGCAATCCGCGGGAGCAGGCAGCGACAAAAGCTGTGCGCGCCGCCTCAGCGTGCCCGCTGGCGAATCCAAATAGCGTCAGGCGCACGCAGAGTTTGCGGTCTTTTGCGTAGGCAGCGAGCACATAGGGCTTGGCAATCGTCTCGCCCGGCGCATTTGGGCGCGCCAACGGCAATGTGGCAAACATCAGCCAGGACGGGCAGACCGGCCGGCAACTGCAGGCCATGCCGGTCCCAAAGCCGCCGGATGCAGTCTCGCAGGCGCCGGCCATCAGTTGGGCGCCCAAGGCCCCTCGCAGTTTGAAGAGCAATGCCGGGTGCCGGGCGAGAGGTGCGAGATCATCAATCGTCACTGTGATGTTGACGCTGCGAGCGGACTGCCAGGTGGCCCACGTGGACGCCGGTTTGCCTGCGCTATTGGCGAGAAATACCAGCCAATCGTCCGCGCTCCACATGCCGCCGTCGCTGTTGATACTCAGACGACCTTTTCTTTCGGGCATGGGGATCATATCAGCCAGCAGTCGGATGCATCGGCCAATGCAACGCCGCCTGCGACCCGGCAGTGCTCAAGCCCGGAGGCGGTGATCACATACATGCGGAGGCTGTCGCCTTCTTCGATCTCGCGTTCGGCGTCTTCGTAAAGTCGATCGGCCGCAACACGGGTCAGACGGCCTTCAAAGACCGATCGTTGAACGCGTGCCAACTGTGCCTGCAGACGCTTTGCAACCCGCCGACGGATGCGTGCGCTTTCCACATCATAGGCGATCACCACTGTCATTTCGGCTGCCATTGCAAGGGCTCCCTTTGCCGGCCGGCCGGCAACTCATCGTTGTGCATTCTTCCGTTGTGCCGCCTCGCGCCTGTCCTGATCCATGTCGTAGGGCACATAGACATCGCGCCCCTCGCAATGGGCGGCAAGGCGCAAGGCCTGCTGCATCATCAGCTCACGCCACCGGACCCTTTTGCCGGTGTAACCATAGGCGACCGTTTGTGCGATCCGGCTTTCATATGCCTTCACGATCGCGCGGTAGCCATCGGGCCTCAGGCGTGCGGAGCCGCCACCGGCATCCGGGGTCACCTCAAAATGTTCGGACCGGACGATGCGGCGGTTGACCAGATAGACAAACAGTCCTTCCGCCAGTGGTGCGCGAAACTCCTCCATGAGGTCGAACACACACCCGCTGTGGTGGTCCCTTGTGCCATGCAAGACACCGAATCCCGGATGCAGGCCCGCGCGCTGGACAGCAACGCTGATGTCGCGTTCGAGAAGATGCGCCAACACATTCAGGATGATGTTTGCGGCGCTGTCGCCCGCCGGACGCTGCCGCTTCGTCAACACAAACATGGGATCGCCACAAAGCGCACCAAGTGCGGGCCAGTATTTTGCGGTCACCGCCCCCTCGTGACCGCGTATCGTTTCAATTGACGTTGCAGCCATTAACGGCCCTTTGGCCTGTTCCGCATCGTCAAGGGCCCGCTGGCCGCGCGGCAGCGTCTTGTTGAGCTGGGTCAACGCCACGGTCACGCGTGCCGGTGTGTCGTCCCGTTCAGCCAAGAGCCTGCGCAACGAAGTGCGTTGCGCGCGCATGCGGCCCACAACAAATCGTCGTGCAAGATCGAGCCTTCTTTTGTGGTCCAGCGACAGTTCGGCCTGCTTCAAATGGCGGCCCGCATAGGGCATGGCGGCAGGGCTCAACCAGCCTGCGGTCGCCCCGTCACGATCGACCAGGGCAAGCGGGATATCATTGCCGACAAGATAGTCTGCCGTTGACCGGTCAATCTCGTTGGCCGGGCCAAGGTCAACACGGTCGACCCGGCCGTGCGGCAGCGCCAGCAGTGGCCGCCATTCAACTGTGCGCACGTCGCTGTCGCGCGGCGCGGGCAGCGGCTCTTCAACCACCAGGGCATCGCGGCGCGCGCGCAGGCGGCGGCCGGGCTCGATGACATGCAGAACGCGCATCCCGGCGGCGTGGCGGTAGCCTCCCCGTTCCAATCGGGACGTTTCGGCCTCGATGAGCGCCTGCTCGGTCTCGGCCCGTTCGTCATCATCGCCAAGCCGTGCCATCAGCGCGCCCAGATCGTCCGGCGCCAGCCCGTCATTTTCGGTGACCTTGAGTGTCATCGAGCGCATGAAAAGATGGCCCAGATAACGAAAACCGCGCTCGAAGCTCATCACGCGGCTCTTGTCGCTGTTAAGGGTCAGTCCTTCCCGGGCCAGAAGCTGTTGTGTGAGCGCCATGGCCGCTTCCGCCGATTCGGTGCCCTTGGCAAGCACGACAAAGTCATCCGCATACCGGATGATCCTCAGGCCGGAAAGCCAGAGGGCCTCATCCAGCCGGTCGAGATAGAGATTGGCAAGGAGCGGCGAAACCGGCGAACCCTGTGCCAGGCCGCGGCCCTGTGGCGCCCAATGAGTAAGCCAGAGCCAGATCAGATCGGTAACCGGCCCGTCGGTCACGCTCTCCGCGAAACGGCTCATCAACCGGTCATGATCGACACGGTCGAAAAAGCGCTCGATATCGGCGTCCACCACGTGGGTGAACCCTTCGGAGCGGGCATATTCGACCGAACGCACAGCCATGGCAACGGATCTGCCCGGCCGATAGCCAAAGCTTGCCGGTTCGAACTCGTTTTCGAATTGTGCCGACAGCGCCTGCGCAACAGCCGTTTGAACGATGCGGTCGCGCACACACGGAATCCGAAGCAGCCGTGTGCCACCGCCCTTCTTGGGGATGTCGACCTCGCGCAGCGCGCCCGGGCGGTAGCTTCCGTCAGACAGGTCGCGCCGCAGATCGCCCAAACGTGCATGGGCATTGCGCGCAAAACCGGTGCAGGTCATGCCATCGCCGCCCGAGGCCCCGTGATTGCGCCAGACGCGGCCCCACCCTTCGCGCAGGGCGGTTGCCGACAGGCACTGCCGCGCCAGTATCGTCCCGTCCAGCCGCTCGCCCGGCAGGCGCGGACCGTGACTGCCCGGCCGCCGCCCCTTCTGACGCCGGAAACCGTGGTCGGCGGCGAGGTCGCGCTTGTGAGGGTCCATTGCAGTTCCGCTTGTGAAAGCACGCGTAAAGATGAAAAAGTCTGCCCGGAAGCGGCGGGCAATGCAAGTTTGCCTTGGAAAGTTTGCAAGTATCTGTAGTATTTTCAAAATTTGGAAAATTAGAAGCATATGTACATGTTTTGTTCTTTTCAGGAAAGCAGATTTTTGATTTGCCTTGGATTTTGTTGTCAATCATTCAATATTGACATGGACTTGCAATGGTAGGAGGTTCGAAGGCCACCGGCCTTCGGGCCGGATAGAAACCCGGGTTTAAACTCCACACCAATGGGGCACATCGGTTCGAAGGCCACCGGCCTTCGGGCCGGATAGAAACCAAACGCGCTGCCGTGGTGAAGGTGTGATTCCGGTTCGAAGGCCACCGGCCTTCGGGCCGGATAGAAACCTCAACACCGCCGCCGACGACGCCGGTCACGAAGTTGCGGTTCGAAGGCCACCGGCCTTCGGGCCGGATAGAAACCCGGTCAGCCGTGCCCACAGCTCGATGTCCTGGTTCGAAGGCCACCGGCCTTCGGGCCGGATAGAAACCTGACCCTGCTGTCGCCTGATCGCCTGATACAGATCGTTTGCGGTTCGAAGGCCACCGGCCTTCGGGCCGGATAGAAACTTCCCACCACGAACGTCAGGAGAATTGACAGGGTTCGAAGGCCACCGGCCTTCGGGCCGGATAGAAACACGGACCCCAAAGATCTTTGACGTGCTCCGGCGGGTTCGAAGGCCACCGGCCTTCGGGCCGGATAGAAACCCGAACTTGCTGGCGGTCGTGGACTGCAAGCGGTTCGAAGGCCACCGGCCTTCGGGCCGGATAGAAACAGGAAGGCAATAACGCCTGTTGTGGCCATCACGGGTTCGAAGGCCACCGGCCTTCGGGCCGGATAGAAACCCGACGGTTGCCGGTGCAAGGGTTGCGAGAGCAACAAAAGGTTCGAAGGCCACCGGCCTTCGGGCCGGATAGAAACGCGAAAAGGGCTGCAACCACCAAAAGCCCACGGTTCGAAGGCCACCGGCCTTCGGGCCGGATAGAAACCGGACGTCACCGACGGAATCGCCAATGTGGCAATGGGGTTCGAAGGCCACCGGCCTTCGGGCCGGATAGAAACCGCCGATGCGCTCTTCGACGATGATCTCCGGGGTTCGAAGGCCACCGGCCTTCGGGCCGGATAGAAACCGCCGCCATGTGCGCCATGGCCCAGTCGGTATCGGTTGGCAGGCCACCGGCCTTCGGGCCGCTCGCCGGGATGCGCCGACGATGAGGGCCAGCGTCAGCCGACTGCGGCGCCAGCCAATCGCAGGTTTGTATCGTAAAAGCGCAGCTCGCCGCCAACCTGATGCTCGGTGCCATCGTCGCCGATCTCGATGCCAGAGGTCGTCACATAGCTGAAGCGCAGCGGCCGGTTCAGCGTCAACACCGCCGCGGCGATGGAGAAGGACTTCTGGCCGGCTGTTGCGTCGATGACGGTCAGCCTGTCGCACGCCTCTTCAAAGTGCCCCAGAGCCGGGTTGGCACTGCGCTCCGCCTCTGTGCGAGCCCGGCATCCTTCGTCCTGACGCACCATCTCCAGTGCGCGCGAAAGGCCCCCATAGACATAGTCATAGTTCACATAGGACCGCCGCATCACGGCCCCGCTGCCATCGTGCAGGGCAAAGGGGCGGCCGGGCGCATGGGCTTCGGCGATCCGGATGATCCGGACGGTTCTTCCAATCGTCGAAAAGGCTTCTGTTACATAGGTGCTGAACTTGTCGAACTGGTCCCGGTCCGGGTCCAGCACAAAAACGGCCTCAAGTGCGTCGCGATGGTGCCACAAGGCCCGGATGTTCTGCTGCCAGGCGTTGCCGATGATGGGCTTGTCGCCTTTTTCGGCACGAAGGGCATCATAGTCAGCCACATTGCGGGCGACACCTTCAAAACCGAGCCCCGCCGCGCCGATCTCATCGAGCATCTCGTCGAAGATGGGCTTGCTCAGCGGCGAATAACCCATCACCACAAATGGCACGGCGGGATGGCTATTGGCATCGGTCGCGCGCACCTCTGCGCCCAGGATCTTGTCAGCGCGTCGGCCGATTGCCCGCACAACCATGGCCAGCAGCACGGCGAACGCGACGAAGAGGACGAGATGGCCAAGCCATGTCAGCTCTTGGGGAAGCAGATAGTCAAACAGAAAGGATCCAGCGATCGCGCTGATGACGGACAGCAAGATCGCGCTGCACAGGCCAAGCAGAAAAAGGATGATCACACCGCGATTGGCTTCAATAGTGTGGTTCATCGCGTTCCACCTTCCATGCCCGGTATTCCGCCAAGCGTGCGCCGAAAGCTTCCATCTCGTCTGCAGTCAGCTCCCGGCCGCGGTCGTGGGGCGGGGTGTCGATCGTCAGATGCAGGTAACGGGCGCCGCGCGCATTGACCCGGGCAATGATGGAAACCGGCAGGGTTCCGATGATCACATCGCCACGGCCGACATTTGTAGGCTCAAGATGCTCTAGCGCCGTCACCTTCAATCCGCGCCGCCGCGCCCATTCGACCGCGCCGGGATGGCGCGTGACGAACAGTGTGTTCATGGTCAGGCTTCATCCCATGACGTGGCATGAGGCGCGCATTCCGCCTTTTCGACCCAGAACGTGTCGGTGCCGTCCCGGTGTCGCACCCGAATGTCATCAGGACCGTCCAGCTCCACGACTTCGACCAAGATTTTTCCTGGGCGGTCCTCTTCGGTCTGGCGTAATATGTCGCCGACTTTTGGCATCCAGGCCTCGAACTCTTCGGCCTCGGCCGCCGCGCGAGCGGCTTCCCGTTCTTGCTCGTTCTTAATGTCAGTGTCTCGCAGGACCTCGATCGCGTCTGCCGTCATAAACCGTCCGAAACCGGTTGCCGTCTTGGCGCCCGCGCCAATCCATGCAAGCGCCTCTTCAAGCAGGCGATAGCCATCGTCCAGATCCTGTTGGGTGCCGCCCCTTGCCAGCCCCAAGGAGAACAAGAAGGTCTGGCCTTCATCGACCGCAAGGAACGGTATCGGCACGGGCGCATGCCAGTCGCCCGGTGACAGCAACACGCCCGGAGCGCCGTCCATTTGCACCGGCCCTTTCGCCCTCCAGCCACCGTCATGGGGCGTCATCACTTCGGCCACGCACCGGACCGGATTTACGGGCAACGCATCGAACACGATCAACCGGCCCATCTGCGGCGCCCGAAGTGGCGCATCGATCTGGCGGTCGGCCTCGTTGCGTGCCCTTGGACCGTAGTTTCCGAAGAGCTCGACAATGCGGGCAAACCATTCAGCGGTTTCTGGTTCGGCTCCATTGAGGCTGCCAAGGCCCTGCCAGTGATCGGCCCAAGCCCGAATCATCCCCTTAATTCCGGATGAGGGGATGTAGGGAACGCCCAGCGTGTGATGCCATACAAATCCGTTCTCGGTGCCGTGCTCATAGCCAAGGCCCGTCGCAAAGCGGCTTACTGAGATGAACTCCTTTGGCTCATTGGTCACCCCGGCAGGGACACTCGCCTGGGCCAACTTCCGGACCCGCGCTGTGGCTCGTGCAACCTCGTCCGGCCGGCCATGCGGGCGTGCGAAGATGTTGACCCAGTCCTTCTTGTTGTCGCCGAGTCCGTACTTGCCGTCCTTGAACGTCCACAAGTCGACAAACTTGTAGAACATGAGGCCGCTGTTGCTGCCTTTGTCGAGGGATGGCCGCGCCTCGCGCTTGCACATCGGCAGCTCAGGCATCGACCGGCTCCACGCCATCATCGTCACGCGGATCGATCATTGCTTCCGCCAATGTCTTGAGCCAACGTACATAGGCCACAAGCTCTGCTTGCGCCCTGATCATCTCGTGTTCATCTTGGGTGGTGAGCCTGGACAGCAGGTCGAGCGCTTTTCCGGCCAGGTCTTCACCGTCGGCAAACCCAACATCATACGGCGTGGCTTGCCATCCCGAGGACGAGCCGATCCAGGACAGAATGTCAGAGAGCAGAGCGGCATGGCCTTTGCCGATATTGCCGCCGCCGCCGGAACCCGACAACTCGAGCGCGATCGTTTGGCCCAATCCATTCAATGTTATGAGCAAGGGGAGAGAACGGACATACGACCGATACTCCTTTGCCCAGCTGTTCTTCCGGTGCCGTTGAACGCGTGCGAGCGCTGACTTGGCACGTTGTTGATCGAGGGTCAGCCGTGGTTCGGTGGACATTTCAGCCGTCCTGCAATCCGCGGACTGAGAACCAGCCTTGACCAATCGTCTCGTTGCCGCCCATTTGAACGTGGGTCACCGCTCCGACTCGTTCGAGAAACGCGTCGACCGCGCCGGGGGTGCGTTCGCTCAGGGTGCTCCACATCACCGTGTCGGGCGCCAGGGTTTCTTCAGCCCACAGGGCACCTGTCTTGACAATCTTGTCTTCATTGAGTGCGTTGCGCATGGCGATCGGCAGGCCGAACTGGCAGTACCACTTGAAGTCTGCATCGGAGAGGATGACGAACTTCGATTGAAAGTCGTTTGGAGCTGATTCTGCCATCAGGACCTGGAACGCTTCGACGACGTCACTGGCTGCTTCACGCGCGTGGCGAAATTCGCGCTCCTCAAGGCCCAATGGCGAACCTCCCGGGGCCACCTCGCCAAGATAGGTTCCAGTAGAAATATCGGGAACTTGCCAATTGGCTGTCCAACCTGCTCTTCGTCGATCACGCTTCAGTCTATTGATGGTTAGCGGGCATGTCGCGAGTTTGAAACTGTCGGTCGTGCATCGCACGGGTAGCATCGCCAGACGTGCCTCGGAGAACAACACGGTCCCCGATGCGCCATCCGTGGTGGCATCACCACTCGCGGTGCCGAACATCTTCGGCACGCTGTTTTCGTCTCGGGCCAGATACCAAACTCTCCAAGCTCCTTTGACGCCAGAGCCGGGAACATGAGGAAAACCAGTCACCGCTTCGCGTGCGACAGGCAAGTCAATTGCATCTGCGGCCTGACCAATTCCGACATGAACAGGTGTCTCAGCCGTCATGGCCAAAATGGCTGATCTACTCATCCGTCAACCTCTCTATTGCCTGGCCATTTTCCCAAGAAACAGTGCCCGAAGCCCCATTTTGTCGCGTACCCGATAGATGCGTTGGGCTGCTTTGGCGATTCATCTTCGGTGCACGCCATGAAGAAGACGGCGCCCGCCGGAATAATCGGCGTCATCGGCAAGGGTCCGTTCTCCATTGAGGACCACCCGCCGAGCCTGAACGGTTTCGGAATTGCCGCCGATACAAGCGTACCGGAAAGGCCGGGAATGGGTCCACCGGCATACGGCTCTTTCTTCAAATAGACCGGCGACACGGCGACCGCAGCGTACTCGGTCAGGCCGTCGAGCTTGGTTGAAGCACTTTGGTCGAGTTCAATCTCAGCAAGATGGAATTGCGCCGCGCGCTGTTCGCCGCCGAGCCTCTGCGTGAAATCTTCTGTGGGGACGGGAGCACCCTCGCACGGCAGCAAGAACTCCACGTCGTCCCTCAAGCGGAGAAACGAAGCCGTATAAAGCTGGGCGTCGTTCACAACACGCGTCCGCACGTCGATGCCGATCCCAGCCTTTGATTCACGTTTCATCAGTTTGTCTTCATCGACGATTGATGTGCTTTCCGGGGTCTTTCCGTTCAGGACGTCAGAAAGGCCGGAACTGTCTATCCAAGCGCCCTCCAGCACCTTGACGCCCTTGGCCCCCGCAGGTTCCTGCGGAAACACAACCGTTGGCCCCAGATCGCTCCTGAACTTCGTCGGCGCCCTGACTTCCAAGAGCCAGATCCGCCCATCGCGGTCCTTGCAAAGATGCGCTGGTGCTGGAAACAGGAGGCCTGCTTTCCGGCGGATCAGAAGTGGCCCAAATCGTAACTCGCCAAGGCTGGTCCCCTCATCCTGCCAGTTAACACCGTGACCGAGTGCGTCTTTTGGCCAAGGTGAACTACCGCCGTCGATCTGCCGGGCCAGACCCGCACGAATTGCCCCAACAATCGTTGGCGGCGGTGGTGGGAACAGGCTTTCGGCGGCCGAAGCGCCAACATCTTGTTGGTTGAAGGGCCTGCCGTCCCGGAACATGAGCGTGTCCTGAGGACGAATGCTAAATGCTGACGTCACGGCTTGCCCTCACCGGCGCTTGGATCAAGGGCCAAGCGGCGGCCTTCCATTGCCAAAAAGCGAGCGACAAGCCCGCCGTCAAACGAGATTCTCGACCGTGTGTCATACGTTCCGCCAACCGTCTCGAAACGAAGCTTTGGTGTCAGAACACGATAGACGGTGTCTATCGCGCTACCGGGAACATGCAAATCGAAGTTCGCGTAGACACTTGATCCAAACTGCCGTCTTAGCTCGGCACCAATCAGAGCCCTTAACGCTGTGCTCGTCTCGTCGTCGAAAACCTTCCAGATTGATGCGTAGTTTTCGTCATCGGTCACATCCGGACTGATGACGGGCATGTACCTGTCTCGGAATCGGTGGAAGAAGCCGCCGGACACCAATGGGTCTGCGTTCGGCGGTAACCCCGTTTCAGCGACCTGCTGTATTGTGAGCGCGTAGTCATCTTTTCCGGCGTCTTCGCCGAAGACACTCGCCCATCTTGCGGACTCCCCGCCTGGTTTGAAGATTGAGATAGCAAGCGAGTTGCGCCCATTTTTTTCCTTGGCTTCGCTGTCCAGCAATTCCGAGGAGTGGCGAAGAACCGCGGTCAGTGGGTGCTTGAAGTGCGCAAAGACAATCGACCCGGACAGAGTAAATTTAGCGTCGCCGTCAAAGGCTTCGGTGTATTGGTCTCGAATGTCGCGCGCCGCTTGAATGGCAGAATCGACGGGCAAAACCGCCAGAACATCGTCGCCGCCAGCATATACGAGTGTACCTAACGAACTATTTTCTGATTGGTTGTCGAAGTATTTTTTGACCCGGTCGGTGAATTTAGCGAGACCGTTGCGAACGGTATCTTCATTTCCGTCCAGCAACCGTCCAACTCCATCACCGTCCATTCGCAGAACGGCGTAGAACCCGCTCGGATAGACAGGCCTTTTGCCATCACTGAGAGCAAGGCATGTCTCGCGCAATGCCTGATGCAGCGTGCTTGTAGCCTCGCCTTTTTCGGTCTGTTCGTCTGCAAAACGCTCTTTGACAAGCGATTCAATTCCCGATGTGTGCAGCAAGTGACCATCAAGTGCAAAGAGCGGCGGTGAAGAATTGGCAAAGAAGGTTGTAGATGTTTCACCCAGGATGCCCTGCTCGGTGCCCAACACTTGACGAGCGGTCCTGTACAGCAACGACGCCGCCTCGTCGTTCCGAGAGAGCTTCTGCTCGGCAGTTTTCAACCACGGCAGTGCGGCTACATAAGATGTCGCCGGCCAATAGCGGACATTGAAGTTCGTCCCGCCTGGCCGCCATGGGATCGCACGGAAAAAACTCGGCCCGTCAGGATCATCGCGCTCACGGCCTCCTTCCCTGTCCAGATGCACTGGAAAAACTCGCTTGATAAAGGCGAGCGCACACAGAAACTCTCCTTCAGGAAGGTCCAGCAACCCAATACCGGACCCCTCGCGAACGGATCGCCAGAATTGTATCTGTGAGTTCCGCTGATCGTCACTGAAACGTTCGATGCCCGACAGTTCCTGAAAGTCGCCCATTAACCGGCAGTGATCCCCACCTTCGGCAGCGTCGGGGACGAGGCCAATGCGCCGCCAGTTCTTGCGCGTGTCCAGCCAACGCCCATCCAAATCGCTTGGGCTGCCGTCAGCCCAAGCCATATCCCAGAATGAACTGGTCTGACGTTTCCAGATCTGCCTTGTCTTTTGATTTGCGGATCCGGCAATGTACTTCGCCCAGATTGTGTCGCAGATCGTGTCCCAAGCTGCCAAGACCGCAGCTTTGCATGTTTCCCCGACATCGATGGAGTTTGAGACGGCAGTGCAGTCGGCCTTGAAGCGATTTGGCAGCGATCCGATGTATACGCTTGCCGATCGGTCCTTGCTTTCAATGGCCTGGAACAATTCGTCTGTTGCGACTTCCGGAAATACGATCTCCGCGCCAACCTTCTTTGCAGCAACCATTGCATGGCCCGAAAGCAGCGACAAAATGAACGATCCTGCCCAATAATCCCGCAGGCGACGAGCATCTGCGATGAAACCTTGGACGGGGCCAAGTGTGAAATGGAGGACGCGATCAGTCATCGCGCATCTCCACGCACCGACAGATCAATTTCGTAGCCGTCGAAATAAGAATACCGCTCGGTTGGCTTTGTGCGCTGCCAGCCATTGAAGTAGTTTTCAACGACTGTAGGGTCGGGCTGGAAAGGCATTTCCTGGCTGTCTGTGACCAAGAGCGGAGGCGGCCGCCCGGCTCGCTCGTCGGCCTCGGGAAGCCAGGCATTATCCAAGTGCGTCGCAACAGGGTGAAATTTGCCCGAGACCTTGGCGATATGAAACATGATGGGGCTCGCCCTGCGCGCAAAAGGCGCAGCCGCGTCGATCGTCTTCTTGCCAAAACTGAGCGGGAGCCCGAGATTGGCCCGTTTTGGGGTTTGGAGGTTGGGACGTTTGCCAGGACTTAGGCCGCCAGATCTGAACCAGTCATGGTCGCCCAGGAAATTTTTCCGTGATTCGATGCCGGAGAATCTATACCCGCTGTGGGCGGACCCCCAGGACCGGTATAGCTGATACCCGTGGCCCAGCGATTCCATCGCATCGGTCCAGTGTTTGAAGCCCTCAGTCCAAATATGAACGCTGCTGCCGCGCCCAAAAGCCGCAAGCGGGAAATCACGGGCATCAGTGGCAGGCAGCGGGGCCACAATGTTCTGAAGCTCCTTGTCGAACAAACGCTCGACGTCGTTGCCGCCAGGCGCTTCAATATCAACAAGGCATAGACTTCCCCAACCACGTCGGCGACGAGCGCCAAGCCCGCCAAGAAGCCCCATCAGGCGCACTGCGTTTTCCAGATATCCCAGTTCTGCTTCGTCAACGAAACGGGTGGCTACTTGAACCCTAAATTGTCCACCATTCTCGAAGGCGGTTCTCTCTAGATGACACCTGCCCCTTCCCGAACTGCTGGCGCGTCCTGTTTTGACCACTCCGTAGCCAAGATATCGAATTCCTTCGCCGTCTGCGTCGAATTGGTCAATTTGCCGGCTCTTCTTGACCCACCTCGCACTCAACGAAAGTTTGCTTTGTGTGGCCCTGACCATGTCGGTTGGTGCTGAAGCACCCTTCAGCGACAGCGAAGTGCCCGGACTGCCAAAAAGTGCCGACTCAATCCTGTGAAGTTCAAGCAACGCAGCGCCAATATCACCGCTGCGTTCGTCGACCAAATGACCGAAACGCAAGGAACGCCACCAAAATAGGATTTCTGATTTAATTGATGTTGGGCGAAGAGAAGTCGACTGCGAGTTCGCATCGCCCAAGAACATGGGTGTCACCAACTCGAACGTCGCAGTGATCACTTGGTACCTCCGTCGTGATCGCCACGATATTTGTCTCGAAGATTTATTCAAGCACTGATTCTTATCATTTTTTGATTACGTAAAAAATTTGTTTATGTATCAAATATCATCGTCTCGAATGCCTTCCTGATTTGGCATGCCGGCGACATATTGCCTAACCGGCCCGTTGATGGTTCCAAGTTGATGCTCCAGTGGGAGTTGCTGATTGGGCGGCTTGGCAGTCGTAAGCTCGCTCTGTCCCATGCCCTCGGCCGGAGCAGGCCGGTTCTTCACCGCCAAGCGCTCGCACAGCGCTCTTGGATACCGGCCGCCAGCACACGAAACCTTCATTCCGTTGCACGAGACAACCGCCATGCACTAACATTCAAACGGGTCCAATCAGATCGGGCTGGTCACGCACTGGTGGCCGCCACAAGTCGCCTGTCCGTTTTCGGTCCACCTCGGTAGATCAAGCGAAGCACCCTGCGTGCCACTGCGGCGAGAATCTTCACGATGCGCCCTCGGCAAACAGCCGCTCGGTTTCTTGCGTAGCTTTGCATGCGATGAACGTATACTGTCCGCGGCGACCGTCATTGTCGGAGCAGTAGCCGTTGTAAAACCAGATTTCGCGGAACGGCGAGTTTGCGAGGCGCCCGTTAAGGGCCTCGAGTGCGGCGATAATCTCGTGGATGAAATAGACAGATGTGCGGTTGTCTATGATGAGGACGGTTTCTTCCTTCCCCGGCGCGGACTTGTTTTCCTTGCTCTCAATCGCCCGGTCGATAATCTCGGCGAGGGTCCCATCCCGTGACTCCGAGGTGCTGACATATATCCGCTCTGCTTGCCCGAAATCAGGGTTGTCGACGAGATCGTCCGGACGCACCCCGTTTTCGCGGTGGCGGGCAACCGCTTCCACAATATCCTGGTCTGGAAAGTTTCCAGCGATTTTGGCGAGGTCGCGCAGCCGAAGCTGGGGGCGATATGAAGCATTGTCGCGGACTTCCTCCCGGGTGAGTACCTCGAACTGAAGCCGATTATCTGCGATCGACACGATTTCGAGATTGAATGTAGCGCCCGTGCTCAGCCCGAGCTTGAAATTCCACGGATCATCGCGGGACAAGACGTTAAAGCCGACGGTGTCGCCAATGATGTGCTTCACCAGAAACTGCATGAAATGCACACAGATGACATGCTCGCGCGTTCTCTTGTCGAGGATGTTTAAGAGTACCCGTTCAGTCACCGACCCGTCGCGATCGATGTAAAAGTATCGTTTGTAATTGCTGCACCCCTCAAGCGGGGCTGGAGGGAAGAGCGCGGAGCGGCCGGCGGTGTCGCGCGACGAATCGATCATGGCCCCCAATATAGAGGGTGCGGCCCCTTTGTTTAGTAGCTGATAATCGCAGTTGCTGCGCCAATCTCACATTCAGCCTTCGGCCCCATAACAGTCATTTGCATGCATGCAGAGAATGTCGGCTTCCCGCCCAAGTCGGTCCTTAGCAGCGCCGCCGCCAAGGTGGCTCTGGGGATGGTTTGGACGTACTAGTGGCAATCGCAGGGTCAATTCAAACCGCTTGTGACGAACGCGGCCCATCTGCCCATCATGTCCCGGCGCTGATCGAGCAGATCGGTTCGGTGGTAGGCGGCTTCGACCCGGTTGTGGATCGTGTGGGCCAGCGCCCGTTCGGCCACTTCGCGTGGATAGCCGTTCTCTGAGGCCCAGTCGCGGAAGGTTGAACGGAAGCCATGTGCCGTCGCTGGCCGATCCGGTACATCGCTTGCCACACTCGCGTCACGCAGGATCTTTGTAAGCGTCATGTCGCTGAGCTGCCGGTCGCCCCGCGCTTTGAAGACAAAGGCCGAAACGTCGGAGATTGCCGCTCGTGCGTTCAGGATCGACAGGGCTTGCTGCGACAAGGGAACGCGGTGGGCCTGCCGCGCTTTCATTCGCTCCGCAGGCGCCGTCCAGAGCGAGCGTTGCCAATCAATCTCTGACCATGTCATGCCCCGCACCTCGCCGGACCGCGCTGCTGTCAGGATCAGGAAGAAGAGCGCCTGCTTCCCCGTGCTTGACGGATCCGTGCGAAAGAGTTGGTCGATGATCATCGGACAATCGCGCCACGGTACGGCGGGATGATGGACGACCCGATGCGCCTTTCCCGGCTGTCGGGGCAGAAGATCATCGACGGCCGGCAGCGGGCTTGCGGCCACGTGACCGTGGGCTGCACACCAGTTCATCACCCTGTGCATGCGCTGCCGTACACGCGATGCCGTCTCAGGCTTTGAAAGCCAGATCGGCCTGAGAACCTCAGCAAAGTCGCTTGCGGAGAGCGCGTCGACATGTCTGCCGCCAATTGATCGAAATGCATAGGTTTCCAACGTTGCGATCCATTGGGCGGCATGCTTCCGGTTCCGGAACCCTGCCTCAAGCGTGGTGTGAACAGCACGGGCCGCGGCGGCAATGGTCGGAACGCTCGCTGTGGAGGCTTTTGCAGCCGCCTTTCGCCACCGATGCTCGATGGGATCCGTTCCCGAAGCGATGGCATGCCTTGCTTCTGCTGCCACTCGGCGGGCAGCAGCGATAGGCACTGCGGGATAAGTGCCCAAGCCCATGTCGCGGCGCTTGCGCGTCTCTGGCGAAACGAACCGCAGAACCCATTTGCCACGGCCCGGCGTGGTTGCGGTCATCAGATAGAGTCCCGGAACCGTACCGTCGGAAACGGATTATCGCCCGGTTTGAGTCGCCGGGCCTTCGCGTCGGTCAACATGATGCACGAACTCCGATCGCGTTTCTGCTCCGCCGGCGCCTGGATGTCGAGCGGAGTTGAGCCCACATTCAGCCCCACATTGGCTACGAGATGAGATGCGACGGATCACAATCAATTGCAACCGTGTTCTTGCTAAATTACTCGAAAAATTGAGGAATTATCACCCAACGAGACATCATGAGATCGTATGCACCATGTCAATGGCGGACTTCCTCTCCGCCATTATTTCGCTCACGCCAAGCTCACTGGGTTCGCTGGCTCCGCGGGGGGCGGCCTGACCAGCCGGCACACGGTCGTGCACTTGCGGAGACCGGATTCGAAGTTTCTCCCCGATTCTCCGCCATTCCCATAACCAGCAGCATTGAAATTTGATTGATCTGATTGCGGGTGCGTGTTCGACCCAAAAATGGCCCTGCACTCGCGTCTGCCCTGGTCTCGCTCTGCGATTGGCTCCGGATGAGACACCGTTGAACGCGTTGCTGTCAGGCGCGCCAGTTCACGCTGGGCGTCGAGCGCCCGGCGGGACGCGAGCAACCGGTTCCGCTCTGCAATCAGCAGGCGTGTATCCAGTCGGGCAAGGGCTTCGCCCGCGGCAACGACATCGCCCTCATCCACCAGGATCTCGGTGACCGTTCCGCCGGTCTCGAAAGCAATGCCCGTTTCCTGGGTGGCCTCGACCTGGCCCGCAAAGCGCCGATCGACCTCGAAACCGTTCTGACGCTCGACCGTCATCACCGGCACCGTGATCCGCGGCGCCGGCGCAGGGACTTCAACGGCCTCGGCGCGGTCGGCAATGGCGCGCGACCCGCCGATAATGGCTGCGCCTGACGCCGCGAAGAAGACGCCCGTGAGCGCAATCGTGGCGGCGGTCGCCAAAAGGTCGTCGATACCGGCTGGCCGCGTCGGCACGAACCCGATCGACGACTGCTCCAGCACGATGACGCCCGCCGGGCCGTCGATCCGCACCGGGTCCGGGGACAGCAGACGCTGTACACGCACCGAACCGGTCGAGCGCAGGGCGACGGGACCGGTGCCCGAAGCCACACCGTCCGCGTCGAACCGGGCGTCAGGGCTGTCTATGATCACGGATCCCGTCGCGATCGCCCTCAGGCTGCCGATTCCCGCGGTTCCCAGCGGCAGCGGCGCGCCCGGGGCACCGATGCCGGCATCGAGCGCGGTCAGGAACAGCCGCTCAGCCGTCACGGAAATCGTCGCCCCCGGGAAAGCGGCAATGCTGCCGACAGCGGTCAGCACGACGTTCCCGCCATCGCTGGTCACCGCGCCGGCCAGGGTCAGATCGCCGGCCGTTACGAGATCGATCGTGCCGCCCCCGCCGTTCGCAAGGCTGGCGACGACGCCGGCCCGCAGGTTCAGCAGATGCATGGCGCCGCCGTCGACCGACGCGTCGATGATGCCGGCATCCAGACGCAGACCCTGGGGACCGGAGTTGCGCAGGGTCCCCGCCTCGACGCGCGCAATGCCGAAGGCGGCGGAAGTGGTGATGAACGAACCGTCGCCCTGCTGGACTGCGAAGGTGACATCCCCCTCGAGCGCGGCGCCGGCGAGACCGCTGCGCCCTGATGTCCGAGCGCAGCGGGCCATCCGCGACATGACTTCGGCATGGCGGTACTGCACCGGGACGAGCCGGACCCTTCTCCGATGCCCGGAGGCCGCCGGCCTCAGGCCGCAAGAAAATGCCGAATTGCAATTGGACGGCGGTCGGGACGGGCGCCCCTTGGCGGGGCGCCCGCAATCGTGTCAGGTCCGGTAGGGATAACCGGCCTTTTCCATCGTGTCGGAATAGGTCTTGAAGGCCTCGACAACGCGGCCCGCCCGGTCGGACGATGCGGCGATCTCGTCCCAGAACCCGGCGGCGTCGGAGACGACCTGCGCCCATTCGTCGGCGGGAATGGAGGTCAGTTCCATCTTCTCGCCTTCGACGCGCAGCTTGGCCTCGCCGCCCCAGTACCAGACGGCACGGTAATAGTGTGACTGGTCAATGGTGATGCGGAACAACTCCTGCAGATGCGGGGGCACCTTGTTCCAGCTTTCGGTGTTGGCGAAATAGGAACCGAACCAGGCGCCGGTCACCGAATTGGTCAGCGCATAGTTGCAGATATCGGCCCAGCCCACCTCATAGGCTTCGGTGAACCCGCACCATGCCACACCGTCCAGTTCGCCCGTTTGCAGCGCGACCTCGACGTCGTCCCAAGGCACGGTGACCGGGATCAGGCCATAGCGCGACAGGAACCGGCCGGCGGTGGGCACACCGAAGACGCGCTTGCCGCGCATGTCGGCGAGCGAGCGGATCGGGTCCTTGGTGAAGATATGAAGCGGATCCCAGGCGCCGGCCGAAAGCCAGGTGACGTTGTCGACTTCCGAATAGGCTTCTTCCCAGATCTCCTGAAGCCCGTAGTAGCGGAACAACGACGGCACATCGAGGCTGTAGCGGGTGGCGAAGGGGAAATAGCCGCCGAACACGGAGATATCGACAGGCGAGGCCATCGTCGCCTCGTCGGACTGGACCGCGTCGATGGTGCCGTTCTGCATCGCCCGGAACAACTCGCCGGTCGGCACCAGCTGGTCGGCATAGTAGAGCTCGATTTCCATTTCGCCATTGGCCGCCGCGTTGAACGCGTCGATCTGCGGCTTGATCACATGGGCGCCCAACGGCGCGCCGGAGTATGTCTGCAGGCGCCACTTGATCGGGCCGTTCTGTGCGAGCACGGCCGGCGCGGCGAGCGCCGACCCGGCAACGGCGGCGCCGCCAAGTCCTGCCTTTCGCAGAAACGTTCGGCGACTGGCGAGAATCGTCTCCGAGGTGGACGGGCTTTTCTTGGGTTTGGTCATGGTCTTCGTCTCCTCTAGTTGAACTCGGGTGAACCGCTTGAACGCTATCCCCGCACCGTCTGCGGCAGCCAAAGCGCCAGTTGCGGGAAGATCATCACAAGCGCGATTGTCGTCGCCATCATCAAGACGAACGGCCAGATCGACCGGTAGATGTCGACGAGGCTGATCTCGGGCGGCGCCAGCGATCGCATCAGGAACAGATTGTAGCCGAAGGGCGGTGTGATGTAGGCGATCTGGCAGGTCATGGTGTACAGAACGCCGAACCAGACGAGATCGAAGCCAAGGCTGTCGACCAGGGGGATGTAGAGCGGCGCGACGATCACCAGCATCGCCGTGTCGTCCAGGAACATGCCCATCACGATGAAGCTGAGCTGCATCATCACGATCACCTGCCACGGCTCCAACTCCCAGCGGGTGACGAACAGCGACTCGATCGCGTTGACAGCGCCGATTCCGTCAAACACGGCCCCGAACGCCAGCGCGGCGAGTATCAGCCAAAGGAACATGCAGGACACGGCCAGCGTCTTGCGCGCCGTTTCATGCAGGACGTGGAACGACAATCGCCGCTTGAAGAGCGCCGCCAAGGTCGCTGCCGTTGCGCCGACCGCAGCACTCTCGACAAGGCTGGTGTAGCCGGTGACGAACAGGCCGGTCATCGCAAAGAAGATCAGGAACGGGATGATACCCGCACGCAGCAGCTTGAGCTTTTCGCCAATCGGCATGTCCAGCTCTTCATCGGAGACGATCGGCGCAAGCTCGGGATTGATGCGGCAGCGCACCGCGATGTAGATGCCGAACATGGTCGCCATCAGAAGGCCCGGGATGATGCCGGCAAGCCACAGCGCGCTGACCGGTTCGCGCGCGATCATGCCGTAGAGCACCATCACCACGCTGGGCGGAACCAGAATGCCGAGCGACGAGCCGCCCTGTATGACGCCGGTGATGAGCACCTTGTCGTAGCCGCGCCTGATCATCTCCGGCAGCGCGATGGTCGCGCCGATCGCCATGCCCGCGACCGACAGGCCGTTCATCGCCGATATGATCACCATCAGGACGATGGTGCCGATGGCGAGCCCGCCGCGGAACCGGCCGAACCAGACATGCAGCATCTTGTAGAGATCTTCGGCGATGCCGGATTCGGCAAGGATGTAGCCCATGTAGATGAACAGGGGCAGCGTCAGCATCGGGAACCAGTTGAACAGCTTGAACGCCTGGCTGAACGGCATCTCGATACCGCCATTGCCGTACAACAGCAACGCCGCGCCGGCCGCCACGAAACCGATGGCTGCGAACACGCGCTGGCCGGTCAGCAGCAGCACCATCATCGACGAGAACATCAAGATGGCGATCAGTTCATAACTCATGACAGTTCGACCCGGCGCAGCGTGGCGATGTGTTTGAAGACAAGCGAGATCGTCTGCAGCATCATCAGGACGATGCAGCCGACCATCAGCGCCTTGATCGGGATCATCGAGGGGTTCCACATCGAGAACCGTCGCTCGCCGGTCTCGATGGCGTATTGCAAGCTAGAGATCGAGCCGAACAGCATGACGCCGAGATAGAACAGAAGGCAGATCATGGTGATCAGATTGAGCTTGGCCTTGCCGCGCTCGGAAAGGCGGTCATAGAACAGATCCATCCGGACATGGCTGTCGTTCTTGAGCGTCATGGCGCCGCCCATGAAGTAATAGGCGGCGAGCGTGAACTGGGTCGCCTCGATGCCCCAGTGGATCGGGAAACCGATGACATTGTTCCAGATCGCATCGATCAGCAGAATGCCAATCATCAGAAAGATCAGATACATGGCGACGATGCCGACGAAGTCGGACATGCGATCGACCCAGCGCACATAGGCCTTGATCACTGCCGGCATGGCCGCTGCCCGTTCGTGGTCATCGTCAACAAGGTCCCCGCGGCGAAAAGGTCGGAAAAGGCGATCATCTCACCTCGACGCGCGCGGTTGCAAGGGCTTTCGCAAAGGCACCATCTGGTGCGCGATCGGTAACCAGCATGTCGATCTCGTCGAGCCGGCAGAGGCGATAGGCGGCCGACCGCCCGGCCTTGGCCGCCGTCGCCACGATGATGGTGTCGCGCGCATTGCGCCGCATGGCACGCGCGATCTGTGCCTCGTGGAAGCTGGCGTCCATCGCGCCCGTCTCGGCGTTGATCGCCGCAACGGTCAGGATCGCATAGTCGGCCTGGAAGCCGCCGATCTGCTCGACGGCCATGGTTCCGAGCGTCTGGTCGTTGCCGCTGCCGAATTCGCCGCCGACGAGAAAGACCGACGAACCGTTGCGCGCCTTGTCGAACGTCTGCGCGATATGGACCGAATTGGTGATCACGGTGAGCGGCGCTGTTTCGGCCAGGGCCGCCGCGCAAGCGAGCGTCGTCGAGCCGGTGTCGATGAAGATCGTGTCGCCGGGTCCGATAATGTCGGTAACCTTGCGGGCGATCAGCAGCTTGGCGCCCGCATCCTCGCCCATCCGGTCCTCGAAGGATGCCTCGGTGAAAAGACGCGCCCGCTTGGCGCCGCCATGCACCTTCTGAAGCCGCCCGGCATCGTTCAGGACGGTGAGATCGCGCCGTATCGTCTCGGCCGATACGCCGAACCGCGTGGCGAGCTGCTCAACGCCCACCCGGCCATGGCGGTTGACGGCATCGACTATGTCTCCATGGCGTTTCTTGAGCTTCACCGCAGACTCCCTCGCATCAAGTTAAGCGAAGCAGGCATGCCCGTGTCAACAAAATTGGTGACGATTTATCCTTTGTTCGGGCAAAAACTCTCAAAAGATTGACCGAGCGGGCATTTGATGTCACCACTTGAGCGAACCGTTCGTTTCAATTGCATAGCGCGAAGGCTGGATGCGGGTGCAGGAAAGCGCTCTTTCAGAAGTGTTCGATGCCGCCATCATCGGCGGTGGTGTCGTTGGATGCGCCATAGCCCGCCGCTTGACGCTCGAAGGCTGGCGCGTCGTGCTCGTTGAAAAGGCGCACGACATTCTCGATGGCGCTTCCAAAGGCAACAGCGCCATTCTGCATACGGGCTTTGACGCGCCGACAGGCTCGCTCGAAGCCAGGTGCATTGCCGACGGATATGCGGAGTACCGCTCCATCCATCAAAGGCTTGGCCTGCCGCTGATCGAGGCGGGCGCGCTCGTTCTCGCCTGGACCGAGCAGGAGGAAGCGCGGCTGGATGCGCTGATCGACAGGGCGCACGCCAACGGTGTCGACGATGTCGCGCGCCTCGACGTGGGCCAAATCCGGCAACTGGAACCGGAATTGGCGAACGATGTGGTGGCCGGATTTCGCGTTCCGGGCGAGCACCTTCTCGATCCCTGGTCCACACCTTATGCCTATCTGCTCCACGCGGTGGAGAACGGTGCGGTCGTCCTGCGCCGTTGCATGGTTCGGGACGGCGAGTTCGACGGCACGCAATGGCGTCTCGAAACCAGCCGGGGTTCTTTGCGGGCGCGTTTCGTCATCAATGCCGCCGGGCTCTATGGCGACCAGGTCGACAAGGCGCTGACCGGCTCCAGCGATTTCACGATCCGCCCGCGCAAGGGGCAATTCGTCGTCTTCGACAAACCGGCGGCGCGTCTTGTCAAGCACATCCTGCTTCCCGTTCCGACCGAAACCACCAAGGGGATCGTCGTCTGCCGGACGGCATTCGGAAACCTGCTGGTCGGCCCGACGGCGGAGGAGCAGGAGGACCGGTCAACGGCCGCCGTTGACACCGAAACCTTGCAGGGCCTGCGCCGAGCGGGTGAACGCATCCTGCCGGCACTCGCCGGTGAAGACGCGACGGCCTTCTATGCCGGGCTGAGGCCGGCCACCGACGAAAAGGACTATCAGATCCGGGCCGACCGGGCGCGAAACTACATCACCGCCGGCGGCATTCGCTCGACGGGTCTGAGTGCGGCGCTGGGCCTCGCCCGCCACATACACCGCCTGTGCGAGGAATTCGGCGGCAAAGCCGAGCCGCTCGCCGACCCGGTCTGGCCAAGGGTCGGCAACATTTCCGAAGGCGCGCCGCGCGGCTGGCAATCGCCGGGCAATGGCGGCGTCGTCTGCCATTGCGAACTGGTCACGCGACGCGAAATTGAAGAGGCGCTGGATGGCCCGCTGGGCGCGTGCAGCCTCGCTGGACTGAAGCGCCGGACGCGCGTGACGATGGGGCGTTGCCAGGGCTTTTATTGCATGGCGCAATTGGCGGCGATCACCGCCGGGCGGTTCACGCAGCCGATGGCCGGCGACGACGACCTTCCCATCGCTTCATCGTCCAATACGCTTGAGCCAGCGGAAGCGGCCGATGTCACGTGAGCGTTTCGACGAGGCCGATGTCGTGATTGTCGGCGCAGGGCCTGCTGGGCTCTCAGCCGCCGTGCGCTTGCGCCAAAGGGGCGTCGATCGTGTTGTGGTGCTCGACCGAGAGCCGCAGGCCGGTGGCATCCCGCGTCATTGCGGACACTACCCGTATGGCGTTCGCGAGTTCGGCCGGCTGATGAAGGGCCCCGCCTACGCAGCGCGCAATGTTGCCGAAGCACGGTCGGCCGGTGTCGAGATCATCACCGGCGCGACCGTTACCGCCCTGGGCGAGGGCCCGGAACTGGCGATATCGACGGCCGACGGCGTTTTTTCCATCAAACCCGCCCGCGTGCTGCTCTGCACCGGTGTCCGGGAAACGTCGCGGGCGCAGCGCCTGATAGGCGGCAGCAAGCCGGCAGGGGTCATCTCCACCGGCGCATTGCAGGGATTGGTCTATCTGCAGTCTCTGAAACCGTTTCGGCAACCGGTGGTTCTGGGAACCGAGCTCGTGTCGTTTTCCGCATTGATGACATGCCGGCACCTGGGCATTCGACCCGTTGCCATGATCGAGCCGAACGCGACGATCACCGCCCGTGCGCCGGCGGCGTTCTTCCCGCGTCTTCTTCGCATTCCCCTGATGCTGGGAACGCGGATAGAACAGATTTGCGGACGCGACCGGGTCGAAGCGGTTGTCGTACGCCGACCGGATGGAGAGATGCGGACCATCGAAACCGATGGCGTCATAGTCTCAGGCCAGTTCCGGCCCGAATCGGCCTTGTTGAGGGGCAGCCATCTCCGCATCGACCCGCGGACCGGTGGCCCTGAGGTCGACCAGTACGGGCGATGTTCCGATCCGGACTATTTCGCGGCGGGCAACATGCTGCATCCGGTCGAGACGGCCGGCTGGTGCTGGCGCGAGGGCCGAGCCGTCGCCGATGCGATCGCCGACAGCCTGCAAGGCAACATCCTCATGCCCGCGTCCGCCTTGCGCCTTGCCGATGCGGCCGGGCCGTTGAAATATGTTGTCCCGCAACGGATCGTGCCGGGTACGAAAACCGCACCGCTTGACCGGCTGCAGGTCCGGCTTGCCAGGCCGGCCCGCGGACGGCTGGTGTTGAAGGCGGCAGACGGGAAGACGACGGTGCTTGCGCGTGTCGACAGTCGCCCCGAGCGCCGGATTGCCGTGCCGCTCGGAAAGCTGGCGGAAGTCGGGCCAGGCGACGCACGGATCGTAATCGAGGAAGACGGCTGATGCGGATTTTGGCTGTTGATCAGGGCACCACGAGCACCCGCGGCATCCTCTTCGACCAGGATGGCCGGTCTCAAACCGTCTTCAGCCGTGAGCACCGCCAGTCCTATCCGCAGCGCGGCTGGGTCGAACATGACCCCGGCGAACTGCTGGACAATGTGCGGGCCTGTTTTGAGGCCGCCGCGGCTGCCGGCGGCGTCACCGCGGCCGGCATCGCCAATCAGGGCGAGAGCTGTCTTGCCTGGGATGCCGACGATGGCACTCCGGTCGGTCCGGTCATCGTATGGCAGGACAGCCGCACCGCCGGCGACATCGCACGGCTGAAGGCCGATGGCGCCGAAGCGATGACGCTTGCGCGCGCCGGCCTGCCGCTCGATCCGTACTTCTCGGCCTCCAAGCTTGGCTGGATCGTGCGCAACAACGCGCATGCCCAGGAATTGGCCGCGTCAGGCCGGCTGCGCCTCGGAACGACCGATGCGTTTTTCCGCGACCGGCTGACCGGCCGCTTCGAGACCGATGTCGCAACCGCATCGCGCACATCGCTGCTCAATCTCGACACGTGCCAATGGGATGACGAACTGTGCGCGCTGTTTGGCGTGCCGATCGATCTGCTGCCGAAGATCACTCCGACATCGGGGGCTCTGGGAACCGTCGTTTCGGGGAGCGTCGGCACGTCGCTGACCGCCAGCATCGTCAACCAACAGGCCGCGCTCTACGGCCATCGGTGCCGGCAGCCCGGCGACGTCAAGATCACGTTCGGCACCGGCGCCTTCGCGCTGACGGTCGCGTCCGCCGAGCGGCCGCCGTCACAGGGCGGTCTCCTGCCGACCATCGCATGGCAGAAGGCCGGCGCCCCGCCCGTTTACGCATTGGATGGCGGCGTCTACACCGTGTCCGCGGCGATCAACTGGGCGCGCTCGGTCGGTCTGTTCGAGGATTTCGACGAGATAGCCGCCTTCTCCGGTCCGACCGCCGCCGAACGGGGACTGTACTTCGTTCCAGCATTGGCCGGTCTCGCCTGCCCGCATTGGGATCGCGATGCGCGCGGAAGCTGGCTGGGCCTGTCGCTCGACACGACGCGGCAGGACATGGTGCGGGCCGTGCTCGAAGGCATCGCTTTTCGCATGGCCGAAGTGATCGATGCGATGAACGCGCTCCAGCCGATCTCGGCGCCCATCACCATCGATGGCGGCATGAGCGCCAACGCCCATTTCGCCCAGTTCCTGACGGACACGCTGGCAAGAGGAGTGCGGGTGTCGGACGAGCCGGAACTGTCCGCGCTGGGTGTGGCGATGCAGGCCGCCGAAGCGGCGGGGACCGCAATCGATCGACCACCGCAAGGCAGAACGCTCACCCCTGCTCCGCAGTCGGCGATGCTCCGTGAGGGTTTTGCATCGGCACGGCAGGCGGTGCAGACGTTCGGCGCAGCCCTGACCGCGCAAACCGCCGCGTCATGACAGTGCGCGGATCGTCATGACGCGATTGGCAAACCCGATTGCCTGCGATAAGCGGGCCGAATGAGGGGATATTCCGTGACGGTCAGCCAGTCCGACGCACATGACGATGAGCCCGTGGACTCGCCAGTCCGCGTTCACAATGAAGACGGCGCATCGCCCATCGTGCTGGTTTGCGAACACGCGTCAAATCACATCCCCCCGATTTATGGCGGACTTGGCATCGATGCCGCAACGGCTATGAGCCATGCGGCCTACGACCCCGGCGCGTTTCCGGTCGCCAAACATCTGAGTGCGCTTTTTGACGCACCGCTGGTCGCCGGAACGGTTTCGCGCCTGATCTATGACTGCAACCGTCCGCCGGAGGCGCCTTCCGCCATGCCCGAGCGATCCGAGCGGTTTGTCATCGCCGGCAATCAAGGCTTGTCCGAAAGCGAAAGAGCGGCGCGCGTCGAGGCCGTCTACCGGCCGTTCGAACGGACGCTGGACAGGCTTCTCGATGCGCGCCCAGACGGGTTTCTGGTCACGGTGCACAGTTTCACGCCGGTCTTCAACGGCGTCAGCCGCGAGGTCGAACTGGGCATTCTGCACGATGCAGATTCTCGTCTGGCCGATGCCATGCTCGCCTCTGCGGACACCATTTCCCTGCGCACGGGCCGCAATGTGCCATACGGTCCGGAAGACGGCGTCACCCACACGCTGGTCCGGCACGCGCTGCCGCGCCGCTGGCCCAATGTCATGCTCGAAATCCGCAATGACCTGATCGCCGACGGCTCCGCACAGCGGCGGATCGCGGACCAGATTCACGCGCTGGCAGTTATTGCGATGAGCCAACTCCAGTCCGACACAGAACAAAGGGGGCGCCCATGACGTCGCAAAGCAAACGCGCGCTGAGTTTCGAGGCGCTCACCGCCATGACCGACGCCGGCGAGATCGACACGGTTCTGGTCTGTCTTGTCGACATGCAGGGCCGCCTGATGGGCAAGCGGTTTCATGCCCGGCACTTCGTCGACACGGCCCACGAGGAAACCCACTGCTGCGACTACCTGCTGGCGACCGATCTCGAAATGGCAACGCCCGACGGCTATGCGGCGACAAGTTGGGAGAAGGGGTACGGCGACTACACGATGAAGCCCGACCTTTCGACGCTGCGGCTGGTGCCCTGGCTGGAAGGTACGGCGATGGTGCTGTGCGATGTGCTCGACCATCACAATCATGCGCCCGTGCCGCACGACCCGCGTGCCGTGCTCAAGCGCCAGATCGATCGGCTCGCGGCCCTCGGCTACGAGGCCATGGCAGCGACCGAACTCGAATTCTTTCTGTTCGAAAACAGCTATGAGGAACTGCGCCATGCCGGTTACCGGCCGCTGGTGCCGATCTCCGGCTACAATGAGGATTACCACATCTTCCAGACCACCAAGGAAGAGGCGATCCTGCGGCCGGTGCGCAATCATCTTTATGCGGCAGGCATTCCGGTCGAGAATACCAAGGGCGAAGCCGAAGCCGGGCAGGAAGAACTCAACATCCGCTATTCGACGGCCATGCTGTGCGCCGACTATCACACCATCGCCAAGCATGCGGTCAAGGAGATTGCCTGGCAGAACGGGGTTGCGGCGACCTTCATGCCCAAATGGGACCATCGCCGGGTCGGCAGCGCGGCCCATATCCACCAGTCGCTGTGGAAGGACGGCGAGCCGGCATTTCGCGATCCGGCCGCCGATCTGGGCATGTCCGACGTGATGCGCAGTTACGTGGCCGGGCTCATCCGGTATGCGCCCGACTACACCTTCTTCCTGGCGCCTTATGTCAACAGCTACAAGCGCTTTGCCAAGGGCACCTTCGCGCCGACCAAGATCGCCTGGTCGGTCGACAACCGCACAGCCGGTTTCCGGCTCTGCGGAGAAGACACCAAGGCGGTGCGGATCGAATGCCGGATCGGCGGCTCCGACCTCAACCCCTATCTCGCCCAGGCGGCGATGATGGCGGCTGGCATGGCCGGCATAGATGAGGGGCTGACACTGCAAGCCCCGGCGGTCGGCGATCTGTACGGCGACGACAGTGCCCCGGACATACCGCGGACCCTTCTAGCCGCAGCCGAGGCGCTGCGCGGCTCGGCCATGCTCCGGAACGCGATGGGTGACGATGTCGTCGACCACTATGTGCGCTGCGCCCAATGGGAGCTGGAGGAGTTCGAACGGGCCGTCACCGATTGGGAAGTGGCGCGCGGTTTTGAAAGGGCCTGACAATGTCCCACATGCTCGAATGCATCTCGCCGATTGACGGATCGGTCTATGCGGCCCGCCCGGCCCTGACGCAGGAGCAAGCCGGCCATGCGTGCGCCCGCGCGCGGAGCGCGCAACCGGCCTGGGCTGCCGTGCCGCTCGACGCGCGCATCGCATTGGTGCGCAAGGCCGTGGCGCTCATCGGCGAGCAGACCGACCGCATGACCACCGAACTGGCGCACCAGATGGGCCGCCCCGTCCGCTATGGCGGCGAGTATGGCGGCTTTTCCGAGCGCGCCCGTTACATGGCCGACATAGCGGCCGAAGCACTGGCGCCGCTGGTCGTCGAGGACAGCGCCGCGTTCGTCCGCACCATCAAGCGCGAACCTGTCGGGGTCGTGCTGGTCGTTGCGCCATGGAACTATCCCTACATGACGGCGATCAACACGATCGCGCCGGCGCTGATCGCGGGCAACACGGTTGTGCTCAAACATGCCACCCAGACGCTTCTGGTCGGCGAGCATCTGGCCGAGGCTTTCCATGCGGCCGGCGTTCCCGAAGACGTGTTCCAGAACGTCTTTCTCGACCATGAAACGACATCGGCATTGATCGCCGATCGCGCCTTCGATCTGGTCAACTTCACCGGTTCGGTCGGCGGCGGCAGGGCCATGGAGCGCGCCGCGGCGGGCACGTTCACCGCCGTCAACACGGAGTTGGGCGGCAAGGATCCCGGCTATGTGCGAGCCGACGCCGACATCGATGCGGCGGTCGCAGGCCTGATCGACGGGGCCATGTTCAACTCGGGCCAGTGCTGCTGCGGCATCGAACGCATCTATGTGCACGAAAGCATCTACGACGCCTTCGTCGAAAAGGCGGTCGAGCTTGTCCGGGGCTACAGGCTGGGCAACCCGCTGGACCCCGAAACGACGATCGGGCCGATGGCGCACATTCGCTTCGCCGACGCGGTGCGTACGCAGATTGACGCGGCGATCAAGACCGGCGCGACCGCCCATATCGAGACGGCGTCCGAAGACGATGGCGGCGCCTATCTGACGCCGCAGGTGCTGACCGGCGTGAACCATCAGATGGCGGTGATGCGCGAGGAGAGCTTCGGGCCTGTCGTCGGCATCATGCCGGTCCGCGACGATGAGGAAGCGATCGCGCTGATGAATGACAGCCATTACGGCCTGACCGCCTCGCTGTGGACGGCCGACGCCGATGCCGCCGAGGCGATCGGCGCACGCATCCATACGGGCACGGTGTTCATGAACCGCTGCGACTATCTCGATCCGGCGCTGTGCTGGACCGGATGCAAGGATACTGGCCGCGGCGCCGGCCTTTCCGCGCTCGGCTATCACGCGGTCACACGGCCTAAGTCCTACCATCTGAAGAAGGCGTGAAGCGATGACGCAGACACCCGTCGCCAACTGGTCCTATCCGACCGCGATCCGGTTCGGAGCCGGGCGCATTGCCGAGATCGGTGAGGCCTGCGCCCAGGCGGGCATCGCAAAGCCGCTTTTGGTCACCGATCGTGGGCTCGCCGCCCTGCCGGTCACGGCGAACACGCTTGATATGATGGAATCGGCCGGCCTGGGCCGGGCGGTCTTCGCCGAAGTCGATCCCAATCCGACCGAGATCAACATGGATGCCGGCATCGCGGCCTACAAGGCGGGCGGCCATGACGGCGTGATCGCTTTCGGCGGCGGTTCCGGGCTTGATCTGGGCAAGATGATCGCCTTCATGGCCGGTCAGAGCCGGCCCGTCTGGGACTTCGAGGACATCGGCGATTGGTGGACACGGGCCGACGCCGACGCCATCGCGCCCATCGTCGCGGTGCCGACCACGGCCGGCACCGGCTCGGAGGTCGGCCGGGCCAGCGTCATCACCAACTCGCAGACCCATGTCAAAAAGATCATCTTCCATCCCAAGGTGCTGCCGTCGGTGGTGATCTGCGATCCCGAACTGACCGTCGGCATGCCGCCGGCGATCACGGCGGGCACGGGCATGGATGCTTTCATCCATTGTCTGGAAGCCTATTGCTCGCCGCATTATCACCCGATGAGCCAGGGCATTGCGCTGGAAGGCATGCGGCTTGCGAACGACTACCTGCCGCGCGCCTATGCCGACGGCGGCGATCTCGAAGCGCGGGCACACATGATGAGCGCGGCCGCCTTGGGCGCGGTCGCCTTTCAGAAGGGCCTCGGCGCCATGCACGCGCTCAGCCATCCGGTCGGCGCGATCTACAACACCCATCACGGCACGACCAACGCCGTCGTCATGCCCGCCGTTCTCAGGCTCAACCGTCCGGCGATCGAAGGGCGGATCGCCCGTGCGGCCGCCTATCTGGGCATCGATGGCGGCTTTGACGGTTTCTTTGATCACGTCATGGCGATGCGCGAGAGCCTGGGCGTGCCCGACAGGCTGGGCGTGATGGGTGTCGGGACCGACCGGATCGACGAACTGGTGGCGATGGCGCTCGAGGACCCCAGCGCCGGGGGAAACCCTGTCCCGATGACGGCGGACAACACGCACGCGCTCTATCGCGCGACGATCTGACCGGCCCCCGATCTCGTGCGAATTCTGCCCGACGCGCCACCCAGTCTTGCCATCGCAAAAGGGCGGCCCCTCGCAGGGCCGCCCTTTCATGGCGTTCGGTTTGTGCCGGCGGCCTATTCGGAGAAGTCGATCGTCGGCAGCAGCGCAGCAAAGAACGCGTCTTCGGCTTCCAGCACGCCCAGGAATTCCTCGGGACCCGCGAAATCGACCTCGACCAGCGCATTGGCCGCAAACTCCGTGAAGGTGCTTCCGGTCGCCGATGCCTCAATGGCCGATGCCAGTGTGGCGAGCACGTCATCGGGCGTTCCAGCCGGCGCCCAGAGGCCGATGTTCGGCGGCAGGGCGAGATCGATCCCGGCATCGCGCAGCGTCGGCAGGTCGGGCGCAAGGCTGGTGCGTTCTTCGGAGAGCTGGGCCAGGGGAACGAGCTGTCCCGCCTCTCCGCGCGGAATGATCGCCGATGCAAATCCGAGCACCACATCGACCTCGCCCGCGACGGTGGCGGTGATGGCCGGGGTCACGCCGCCGAACGGGATATGAAACATCTCGATGCCGGCGGCCTTGGCGATGGCCTCGGCGGCGATGTGCGTGGCGCCGCCGGTTCCGGCGCTGCCATAGCTGACCTCGCCGGGGTTTTCCCTGGCATAGGCCAGCATCTCCTCGATCGTGGAAAACGGTGCACCGTTCCGTGCGGCGATCACATTCGGACCGACGGCCACGCGCGCGATCGGGGTGAGGTCAGCAAAACCGTAGTTCAACTCGCGCTGGTGCGGGGCGACCGTCTGCACGGAGCTGACGGCCATCAGGATCGTGTAACCGTCGGCGTCGGCGTTGACGACCTCGGTCGCACCAACCGTGCCGCCGGCGCCCGGCTTGGTCTCGACGACCACAGGCTGGCCGAGAGCCTCGGACATGTCCTCGGCAAGGGTGCGCGCCATCGTGTCGGTCGAGCCGGGCGAATAGGGCACTATGATCGTCACGGTGCGTTCGGGAAAGCCTTCGGCGCTTGCCAGCGTGGCGCTGAGGCCCAGCGCCAGACCGGCCAGAAGTGAGGGAATGCGAAATCTCATGGTTTCCTCCGTTTTGGATTGCGTGGTTCGTCTTGAGCGCCGTTCGGTCCGAACGGCCTCAATGGTATCGCTCCCGGGCGGCGGCACGGCCGGCGATCAAGCCCAGACCCAGCGCCGACAGAAGCCCGTTGCCCGACATGTAGCCGCTGCCGCCGGAGCGGCCGCTGATGCCCATCGCAGCGCCGCCGCCGGCGTAAAGTCCCGGAATTGGGCGGTCGTCCGTGTCGAGGACGCGGGCGCTCGTGTCGATCTTCAAGCCGCCCTGGGTGTGAAACAGCGCCGGTTCGATCTGCGTCGCGCAAAGCGGGCCCCCAAGCGGGCCATGCCCCCAGTCCGTACGCCCGAACCGGTCGCATCGATTGCCTCGCGCCGCCTGTCTGGCTTCGTCGACTGTCCCTGACAAGGCGTCTTCCGGCAGGTCGAGCCGGGCGGCCAATTGACGGATGTCGGATGCCGTTTCGGCGGCGCCAAATGCACAGGCCTCGGCAAATTGCGGCTGGCCCGCCGCGACATCGTCGCGGATCGATGCGTCGTAGATGATGTGAAAGGGCCCAGCGGCAGCAAGCTCGAGATCCGCAAAGCCGGAATAGCCGAGCGTCTCGTCGCCGAACCGCCGCCCGTGGCGGTCGACGACAAAACCGCCGCGTTCGATCAGCGTCCACGTCATCAGCGCGCCGGTCTTCACGCTCAGCGCGGCATGACCCTGGTATGCGGCCATGTTTCCTGTCGCGGCGCCGATGTCGCGGCCCCAAGCGATGGCGTCTCCCGTGCTGTCGGGCGATCCGGCATAAGTCGCTTCGGCGACGGAAGGGCAGTAATCGGCCAGAAGCCCGGAGGCAGCGCCGAAGCCGTTGCACGCCAGGATCACCGCACCGGCTTCGATCCGGTCGTCACCCGCCAGAGCACCGGCGATCCGGCCCTGGACCTCGATCAATCCGGTCGCGGGGTGACCGAGCGCCAGCGGGATGTCGCGGTCCCGGACTGCGGCGGCGAGGTCATCCAGCAGGTCGATGCCTTTTCGCGATGGCGGGGCGTGAAGGCGGCAGGTTGTGTGTCCGACGTGCTTGTAGGTTGTGATCAGGTCGAGCGTGACGCCGCAATCGACGAGAAAATCGATCAGCGCGCCGGAGGTCTCGGCAAGGATGTCGACCAGTGGGTCCGCATCATGCGATCCGGCAGCCGCGCGCAGATCGCCGGCGAACAGGGCGACACTGTCCTCGACACCGGCACACGCCTGAAACCGCGTCGGCGCCGCCGGGATGGAGCCGCTCGACAGTGCGGTGTTGCCGCCCAACGAACCGGCTTTTTCGAGGATCGCGACATCGACACCTGCTTCTTGGGCGGCCAGCGCTGCGGTTAGGCCGCAGCCGCCCGCGCCGATCACCAGCACATCGACCGAAGCGGAGTGTCCATCAGACATGTTCGAAAACACCCACGATCACCAGCACCTGCCTGTCAGTGTTGCCGGATCCCGCCTGGACTGGACGGACGGCGATCCGCGAAGTGTTGACACTATAGGTCCCTTCGAGGGCGCTCTGTCAACAGTTATTGCGGATTTCTCGAAACGAGCCCCCATCGCCTGGCCGTGATCGAAAAACCGTCGCACAAACATCGATCCTCGTATATCTATGTTTTAAATGAATAAATCGATTCTCCAACACGGAACTCGTTCCGAATCGGACCTTGTCAGCACTCCAAAAGTGTTGACAGTTTGGAAAATGATGCGAAACAAATGCGGGATTGGTCGACAACCCGGCGCGCGATTGGACACTCATGCAGCTCCCTTCTGCCACCACTTTGCCGCGAAAGGTCGTGGTCACCGGCTCCGCGTCGGGGATCGGACTGGCGGTGACGGCATCGCTCCTTGAGGCGGAAGCCGGGGTCGTCGGCATCGACATTGCCGGTTCACCCGACCTGACCAGCGGCTACGAGCACATTCGCGGCGATCTTTCGACCTTTGACGGCATCGCCGCCGTCATGGCGGAACTTCGCGGCAGGCGTTGCGATGCCCTTGTCCATTGCGCCGGCATCATGAGGACCGATGCCAATGCCGACATTGCGCAATCGATGGGCGAAGCATTGTGGGCGCTCCACGTTGTTGCGCCGCAACGGCTTTGCGAACTGCTCTTGCCAACCATGCCCGACCGGGTCGGGCGCGTTGTCGTTCTGTCGAGCCGCGCGTCCGCCGGGCGGGCCGGGCGGGCTCTTTACGCAGCATCGAAGGGCGGCAGCGAGGCGCTCGTCCGCTCGATGGCGCTGACGGTGATGGCGCGTGGGATCACGGTGAACGCGATCGCTCCCGGTCCGGTCAGAACGGCGCAGACGACCGATCCCAACCGCGCCGACGCGGCGGTTGCATTGCCGCCGATGGGCCGCTTGATTGTGCCCCAGGAAATCGCTGCGACGGTTCTGTTTCTGCTGTCGGATGCGGCGGGCGCCATCACCGGGCAGACATTGGTGCAGTGCGGCGGCCTGTCATTGGCGCCGCCATCGACGGCGACGCCACAAAGGGGGGCGGATCATGAAACGCTTTGATCGCAACGAAGTGATCGCCGCGCTGTCGATGATGGCGTTCGGCATCCTCTGGCTGGTCATCGGCCAAGGCTATGCGATGGGCAACAGTGTGCGGATTGGCGCCGGCGTCTTCCCGGTCGCGTTGAGCGTCATCCTGATCGCGCTGTGCGGCGTCCTTGTCCTGCAGGCCCGCGGCGCGGAGCATCGTCCGTTCGGGCTTCATGTCCGGCCGATGGCGTTTGTCCTGGGCGGCATCCTGTTTTGGGCATTGACGGTCGATGTCATCGGCTTTCTGCCGGCGACGATCGTCCTCGTTGCGTGCTGTGCCCTGGCCGAACGCGCCAGCACATGGCGGTCGACGCTTGCTTTGACGGTTGGCCTTTGCGCCTTCGGCTATGTGGTCTTCATCGAGGGCCTCAACATTCCGCTTTCGGTCATCGGGGAGTGATGCCATGGACCTGATCGCCGGCCTTTCGCTCGGTTTCGAGACGGCGCTGTCGCCCGCCGCGCTGATGTTCTGCTTTTTCGGCGTCAGTATCGGCATGTTCATCGGTGTTCTGCCGGGCATCGGCCCGCTGGCGGCCGTCGCCATGATCCTGCCGGTCACCTACCATCTGGAGGCTTCGAGCGCGCTGATTATGTTGGCGGGCATCTTCTATGGCGCCCAGTATGGCGGCTCCACGGCGTCCATTCTGCTCAACCTGCCGGGAACGTCGACGACGGCCGTCACGGCGATCGACGGTTATCCGATGGCCCAGCAGGGCCGGGCCGGCGTCGCGCTGTTCATCACGACCATCACCTCCTTTTTTGGCGGCTGCCTTGCGATCATTCTTTTGATGAGTTTCGCGCCGGCGCTGGGCGCCATGGCACTGAAATTCTCATCGGCGGAGTATTTCTCGATCATGCTTCTGGGCCTGATCGCGGCGGCAACCATGTCGCTCGGCAGTCCCATCAAGGGTGTTGTTTCGGTCGTTGCCGGCCTCATGCTCGCCATGGTGGGGATGGATACGACATCGGGCCAGTTGCGCTATACGTTCGGCATTCTCGAACTGCAGGACGGGCTCAATCTGGTCGCCATGGCCATGGGTCTGTTCGGCGTTGCCGAGATCCTGCGCAATGCGGGCACGCCCGAGCGGGACACGTCCAAGCTCCAGAAGGTCCGGTTCAGGGACCTGATGCCGACCCGTGCCGACCTGCGCCAATGCTGGAAACCGTCTTTGCGCGGCGCCGGGATCGGCTCTTTCATTGGCGTCCTGCCCGGTGCCGGGCCGACGCTGGCAGCGTTCCTGGCCTATGCCGCTGAAAAGCGCGTCGCCAAGGACCCCAGCCGGTTCGGCCGTGGTGCGATCGAAGGCATCTCGGCGCCCGAGGCGGCCAACAATGCCTCGACGCAGGCCGCCTTTATTCCCACCTTGGCGCTCGGCATCCCCGGCGATGCGGCGATGGCGGTCCTGCTTGGCGCCATGATGATCCACGGCATCCAGCCGCGCCCGGAATTCTTCACCATGCATGCCGACCTGTTCTGGGGTCTGGTTGTCAGCTTCTGGATCGGCAATCTGATGCTGCTGGTGCTCAACATCCCGCTGATCGGCATCTGGGTCCGGATTCTCACCGTGCCCAAACGGCTCCTGTTTCCCGCCGTCATCTTCTTCATCTGCGTCGGTGTCTACAGCGTCAACAACAACCCGTTCGACGTGCTGATGGTGATCGTGTTCGGTCTGGTGGGTTACGTCATGAACGCGTTCCAGTATCCGACCGCACCGCTGCTGATGGGGTTCATCCTCGGGCCGCTCATCGAGCAGCATTTCCGGCGTGCCTTGCTGTTCTCGCGGGGCGACATGACGACCTTCATCGACAGGCCGATCAGCGCCGCATTTCTGGCGGCGAGCGTGCTGCTGCTTATGACGATGGCATTGCCGGTGATCAAGAAGCTGGTGACGCGGGCAGCCGAACGCCGAGGCGCCGGGGCCGACTGAGTCGGCGGGTTTGCCGCGGGATCAGGACGCGGCGCGATCCTCGGGCAGGGCAATGGCGTCAAGATCGGCATAGCGCTGTTCCATTGCCTTGATCTCGGGCTGCCCCATCAGTGCCCAGATGTCGTCGATCCCGTAAAGCAGGTCCGGATGATCGGCGACCTCACCGCTCTCCATGGCGCCTTTCAGGATGGACAGGGCGTTCTCCATGGCCATCAATGCCGCCGCCGGCAGCATGCGCGGCAGGGTCACGCGCTTGACGCCCAGCGCCTCGAGCCGTTTCACCGGGATCAGCGGCGTCGTCGGGCGGTTACGGATGCCGAACCCCATATTGACCGAGACCGGAACCGGGGACGCATCCACGAGCCGCTTGATCTGTTCCTCGCCGCCGATCGCGTCGGCGAAGATCAGGTCGGCGCCTGCGGCCGCATAGAGCCGGGCGCGGCGAATGGCGCCTTCGATCCCCTCGACCGCAATCGCATCGGTTCGTGCCAGGACGATGAAGTCGTCATCCTTGCGCGCGTCGCAGGCCGCTTCGATCTTGCGCGCCATCTCGCGCATGTCGATGACATCCTTGCCTGTCATGTGACCGCAGCGCTTCGGGCTGACCTGGTCCTCGATGTTGACGCCTGCCAGGCCCGCTTCCTCGAACCGCTCGATGGTATGATAGACGGCAATGGCGTTGCCGTAGCCCGTATCGGCATCGGCCATCACGGGGATGGAAACGCTGCGCGCCATCATGCGGCAGGCTTCGAGATTGTCGGTCAGCCCCATGATGCCGACATCCGGCACGCCCATGCGGGAATTGGCAAGCCCGGCCCCGGTCGTGCAGGCGGTCCTGAAGCCCATCTTCTCGACCATCCGGACGCTGTAGCCGTCATAGACGCCGGGCGAAACAACAATGCCGTCCTCAGCCAGAAGTTCGCGCATGCGGCGGGCCGGTTTCGTTGCCGGTTCGGTCATGATGTCATCCTTGGTCGGTGGTCGCGGCCTGTTGGGCCAAAAGGGTTTCAAGTGATCGGGTCGCGCGCCCGATATGCGCGCGCATCAGCGACTCGGCGAGTTCGCCATCGCGGGCCCGCATGGCGCGCAAAATCTGCCAGTGCTCGGTGAACGCGTCCTCGCGCCGCCCGGGCCGATCGGCCGAACGGGCGCGGTAGAGCCGCAGAAGATAGTAGAGTTCGTCGCACAAAAGCGCCCGGATCCGGTCGTTGCCGCAACCCTCGGCGATGCGGACATGAAGGTCGAGATCGACGGCCCTGCCGGCTTCGCGCGCCGCCGAAAACGCATCGAGCATTTCGTCCAGCTCGCTGTCGGACATCGCCCGCGTCGCCAGCCGCACCGACATGCCCTCGACCGCCTCGCGAAGCTGGAAGATCTCGATCATGTCCGGCAGGGACAGCGACACGACGCGCGCCTTCAGATAAGGCTCCTTGATGACGAGCCCGCGCCCCTGCAGCTGCTTTATTGCCTCGCGGATCGGTCCGCGCGATACTTTGAAGCGCGCGGCCAATGCCGCCTCGTTCAACTGGCCGCCAAGCGGGATTTCGCTCGACAGGAGAAGCGCAAAGACCTCGCGCACCACGCGATCGACCAATGTGCGTTCTTCGCCGTCCAGCACCCCGCCCTCCTGTCAACACTTTGTGCGTTTTGTGCAATTGATGACCAAGGAATAGCGGTATATTCGCGAGGCTTCAAGTCAATTTCGAAAAAGTGTTGACACTTTGACGGCATCTTTCTAACCCTGCCAAACGAGGAGGCGGCAGGACAGCGCATGACGGCGAACGTCGACATCCCATTGGTCACAGTTCGGGCACAGGGCACTGACGTATCCGTCGGTGTGGACCTGCGCGCGCTGACCGCCAGCCGGCATCGGCCACTGCCCCATTGCCTTCGCATCATATTGGAAAATCTGGCCCGCCGGGCCCTTGCTGGCGACGCGTCCGAAGCCGATGTGGCCAAGATTGCCGGCTGGACGCCGCGCACGAGCGGCCTTTCCGTGCCGCTCACCGTCTCCCGGGTCATTCTTCCCGACAGTTCGGGCCTGCCGGTGCTGATGGATCTGGCCGCCGCGCGCGACGTGGTCGCCACGCAGGGCGACGACGCCGGAACGGTCGAACCCAAGGTTCCCGTCACGCTTGTCGTCGATCATTCCCTGATCGTCGATGTTGCCGGCCGTTCTGACGCGCAAGCGCTGAACATCGCGCACGAGTACCGCCGCAATGCCGAGCGCTACAGCTTCTTCAAATGGGCCGAACAGGCATTCGACATGCTCCGCGTCGTGCCGCCGGGGGCTGGCATCATTCACCAGGTGCATCTGGAGCGGCTGGCGCAGGTTATCGAGACGGTCGAGTTGCCGGGCATTGGAAGGCTCAGCGGGCCCGAGTTCGTTCTCGGCTGCGACAGCCACACGCCCATGGTCAATGGTCTTGGCGTCCTTGGCTGGGGCGTCGGCGGCATCGACGGCGAGGCAGCGGCGCTCGGTCTGCCCTATGTCGCGCGCGTGCCGCGGGTGGTCGGGCTGCGGCTGACGGGGCGTCTGCCGGCCGGCGCAACGACGACGGACCTCGTTCTGCGCGTCACCGAGCGGTTGCGCGAAGTGGGCGTTGTCGGCGACTTCATCGAGGCGTTTGGCCCCAGCCTGCCGGAACTGACCGTTCCGGACCGCGCGACCATCGCCAACATGGCACCCGAATATGGTGCGACCGCCTGCCTGTTTCCGATCGATGACCAGACGCTGGCCTATCTGCGGCAGTCGGGGCGGGACGCGGCACATGTCGCGCGCATCGAGGCGTATGCGAAAGCCGTCGGGCTGTTCGCCGAGGCCGGCGATCCCGAGCCGGAATTCTCCGACGTGGTGGAAATCGACCTGTCGACGGTTGCGCCCAGCGTTGCCGGGCCGAAACGCCCGCAGGACCGGGTGCCCTTGACCGAATTGAAAGACGCTTTCACCGCCGCTCTCACGGCGCCGGTTTCCGCGGGCGGGTTCGGGCTGACACCGGATCAGTTGGACATGCGCGTGCCGGTGGCTGGTCTTGACCGGCCCGTCCGGCACGGCACGATCGCCATCGCGGCGATCACCTCGTGCACCAACACGTCGAACCCGTCGGTCATGATCGGCGCCGGTCTTCTGGCGAGCAACGCGGTTGCAAGGGGACTGGCCGTACCGGGCTGGGTGAAGACGTCGCTCGCTCCGGGGTCGCGACTGGTCACCGATTATCTGGACGAAGCCGGGCTTCTTGCTTCGCTTGAGGCACTCGGATTTCACGTCGTCGGCTATGGCTGCACGACATGCTCGGGAAAGTCCGGCCCGATCGACGCCGATCTGGCGCAGGCGATCGCAGACAACGATTTGGTTGCCGCCGCGGTCCTGTCGGGCAACCGGAACTTCGAAGGCCGCATCCACAAGTCGGTGCGTGCGGCCTATCTTGCCTCGCCGCCTCTGGTGGTTGCGTTCGCGCTCGCCGGCCGTGTCGACATCGATTTCGAGACAGAGCCGCTGGGCACGGACGCGAGAGGGCAGCCTGTCTTTTTGCGCGACATATGGCCGGACGCGGCGGACGTGCAGCGGCTCGTCGACGCGAGCCAACGGCCGGATCGGTTCCAAAAAAGCTACGCCACGCTTTTCGACGGGGCCGAGCTTTGGCAGCGCCTGGACGCGCCCGGCGGCACCCGCTTCGCCTGGGACGAGGCCTCGACCTATATCCGCCGTCCGCCCTTCTTCGAACTGGCCACCGATCCCCTTCCCGATGCCATCGAAGGCCTGCGCGTTCTGATCCATGCCGGTGACAGCCTGACGACGGATCATGTGACGCCGAGCGGTGAAATCCTGCCCGACAGCCAGGCCGGACAATATCTCATCGGCCAGGGTGTCGAGCCGCAAGCCTTCAACGCCGTGACCCAAAGGCGCGGCAACCATGAATTCATGGCGCGCGTGACCTTCGCCAACCAGCGGATGAAGAACCGTCTGGTCCCCGAACGCGAGGGCGGCTGGTCCCGTCGTGAGCCCGAAGGGACGATCGAGACCGTGTTCACGGCAGCCGAGGCTTATCGTGACGAAGGGGTTCCCGTCATGGTGCTGGCCGGCCGCGACTACGGCATGGGGTCCAGCCGCGACTGGGCCGCCAAAGGTCCCAAGCTGCTCGGAGTGCGCCTGGTGCTGGCCGAGAATTTCGAGCGCATCCATCGCGCCAACCTGATCGGTATGGGCATCGTTCCGATAACCTTCTTGTCCGGCGAGGATGCGGACGGTCTTGGCCTGACCGGGTTCGAGCGCTTCGACGTTTCCGGCCTGCATGCGGCGCTCGATACCGGGTCACCGGTGTCGATCACCGCCCATGGCCCACAAGGCGCACGCACATTCAAGGGCCGGCTCGATCTGGCCAGCGCGCATGAAGCAGCCCTGCTGCGGAGCGGCGGGCTGTTCGCAACGCTGCTCGATGGCTTGAAGAGCGAGGAGCGCCGCCATGCCGGATGAGTTGAACGAGGCTGTCGAAACCGTCGAGACCTACCTGGCCGCCATGGAAGCCCGTGACCTTGACGGTGCGCGAGCCTGCGTGTCCGAAGGCGATCTCGATCTGACATTTCCGGGCGGCCGGCATTTCACGCGGATTGACGAGATCGTCGCCAATTCGAGCGGGCGCTATGCGGCTATCGGAAAGACGATCGAGCGGCGGTCGGCCTGGTCCGAGAACGCAGGAACCCATGTTCTGTTCGCAGGAACGCTTTTCGGGCGATGGCCGGATGGAACGCCGTTCGACGGCATCCGGTTCATCGACCTGTTCGAACTGAAAGACGGTCTGATCGTCAGGCAGGAGGTCTGGAACGATGCCGGCGAACGTTTGCTGGCCGGGCAAAAACAGGAGACGCCGCGATGAGCCATGATCTGGTTCTTGAAAACGGAGAGATCGTCTTTCCCGGCCAGACCATCCGCCGTGGCAGCGTCGCCGTCAAAGGCGGCAAGATCGCCGCGATTCTGGATCGGGGCGAAGTCTGTAACGCGGCACGCGTGATCGATTGCACCGACCGCTGGATCCTGCCGGGCGTCATCGACCCGCACACCCATATCGGCTTCGGCGACAAGGAAAACGATTGGGCGACCGAGACGGCGACCGCGGCACTGGGTGGCGTGACCGGTCTGATGAGTTTCTGGCGCCACGATGATCTCGGCGCATCGACCGGGCCTTGGATTGCAGCCGGTGAAGCGCGGGCGGAGACCGATTTCGGTCTGCATTTCGGCGTTACCTCGCGCCGCCACGTGGCCGAACTTGGCGAACTGTCCAAACGGTTCGGGGTAACCTCGATCAAGGTCTATCTGATGTACAAGGGCGCGACCGGCGCCGCCAAGGGCTTCACGGAAGTCGACGATGCGCTCTTGTTTTCGGCGCTTCAGGCCGGTGCGAAGGTCAAGGGCGGCGTGGTTGGCGTGCATTGCGAGAACACCGAGGTGATCCCGGTCTTCCGCGATCCGCTGAAGGCGGCCGGCCGCGACGATCTCGCCGCATGGGACGAGCAGTCGCCGGGCTTTCTGGAAACCGAGAACGTGTTCCGGGTTGCCTTCTTCGGCGAAAAGGCCGGATGCGACGTCAACATCGTGCACATGTCGGCGGTCGAAAGTCTCGATCTGGTGCGCCGCCTGCGCCACAAGGACCGGCCCAGGATCAACGTCGAAACCTGTATCCACTATCTATCGCTGAACAGGGACTGTCCGCTCGGCCCGATCGGCAAGGTCAATCCGCCGCTGCGGCCGCAAGCCGATGTCGACGGTCTTTGGGAAGGGGTTCGTGCCGGCGATATCCAGACCATCGGATCGGACCATGTGCCGCGCAAGGTGTCGACGAAGGGACCCGACATCTGGTCCGCGACCGCAGGCTTCCCCGGCATCGCGCAGGTGCTGCCGGTGCTGATCGAAGAAGGGTACTACAAGCGCCAGATTCCCATCGAGCGGCTTGCGGCGACCATCTCGTGCAATGTGGCCGACCTTTATTCGCTCCCCGGCAAGGGACGCATCGCGCCCGGCTACGACGCCGATTTCGCCATTGTCGATCCTGCCGGCCAGACAAGTGTGGCGGCCGACGCGTACCCCTCCTTTTCCGACTATTCGCCCTATGCCGGCAGGACCTATCGCGGCGCGATCACGCACACGATCCTGCGCGGCACGGTGGTGGTCGACGATGGCTGGCTGTCCCCGGAACCTGCAGCGCCGGGCCGCTACATGCACCGCGCTCCCTGACAAGAGGAACAATCATGACCGAGCGAATCTGGGACCGGTTCCTGACCGATCACGACAAGCAAATCTTCCAGCTCGCCGGCTATGGCAAGCGCGGCGGCTTTGGCAAGCGGCCGGCGCTGTTCATCATCGATGTGCAGTACAATTTCTGCGGCGATGCACCCGGCGAAAGCCATGAGGACGGTGTCGGCAAATACCGCACCCATTGCGGGCCGGTCGGCTGGAACGCGGTGCCGCATATCGAACGGTTGATGCATCTGGCGCGGGAGATCGATATTCCGATCTTCTACACCCAGAGCGAGCGCCGTCCCGACATGATCGACAGCGGCGTTCAGGTGTCAAAGAGCCATCGCGGGCATGAAAAGACCTCGCAGGAGGGCACGCACGCCACGCAGACCGTGGCGCCATTGGCGCCGCGCCCCCAGGATATCCTGATCGGCAAACGCAAACCCTCGGCCTTCTTCGGCACACTGTTCATGAGCCACCTGAACTATCTGGACGTCGACACGCTGATCATGACCGGCTGCACCTCGTCAGGCTGCCTGCGGGCGACCACGGTCGATGCCTATTCGTTCAACTTCAAGGTGGTGATCCCCGAAGAGACGGCGTTCGACCGGTTCGAGGCCAGCCATGCGATTTCGCTGTTCGACCTCAACTGCAAATATGCCGACGTGATCCCGACCGACGAGGTGGCCGCCTATCTTGAAGGATTGCCGGCAAGACCGTCATAGCGCGCCATATTTTTTTGGGCGCCGGTTCACGTCGCCTTAAGGCCATTGTGCGACCATCGCTCCCGACTTTCCGGGGAGCCGAATGTGACACTGGGCATTGGCGACATTGTCGCGACAGCGGGCGTGCTGCTGGGCCTGAATTATGTGGCGCTGTTCATCGCCGCCTATCTGTTCGACCGTTCGGCCCGGCACCTTCTTTGGTATCTGGCCGGCGCGGGAGCGTTCATCGGCAGCAGCGCGGCCTATGTGATGACCGAGATCGCGCCCTTCCACGGCCTGTTCTTCATCCTTGACGATGTGCTCGTCTGCACCGGCTTCCTTTTGGTCTCGAAGGGCATTTGCACGCACGCAAGGCTGCCCCTGCCCGGGCGCATATTCGCCTTGACCGCGATCATCGGCGCCTTCGTGATCGCCGTCCTGGCACCGCTTGGTGAGTTGTCGCTGATGCGGCTGGCAACGGTCAGCCTGTTCCAGGTGGCGTTGCCTGTGATGGTGGTCGTCCGGCTCTACCGCCTGCCGGCGATCAGTTCCCGCACGCGGTTTCTGGCCACCATGCTGTGCGCGGTCATCCTGTCGGTCCTCATCCGACCCCTGGTCGCCGCGTGGGCGGTCAGCCATGGCACCCTTTCGCCGCCGGAGCAGGCCGAGCTGTACGGCACTTATGCGGCAACGCCGTTCGCGGCGACCCTTTTCGCCTTTGCGGGAACCATCTTCTTTCTGGCGATGAGCGATCTGGCGGCCACCTATCGGCAGGCGTCGATGACCGACAGCCTGACCGGCCTTCTGAACCGGCGCGGCTTTCTCGATGAAGGCAACCGGCTGGCCGCGCGCCCCGCCGCGCTGATCATGCTCGACATCGACCATTTCAAGACGATCAACGACACCCATGGACACGACCAGGGCGACAGGGTGATCGCCGGCGTCGGATCGGTCATCGCCGTCGCCGCGCCGCGCCCGCATCTGTGCGGCCGGCTGGGCGGGGAGGAGTTCGCGATCCTGGTTACGCGCACGGAACTGCCGGTGGCGACGGCGCTGGCCCAGGCGATCCGCGTTTCCATCGAGACCGAGCTGCGCGACATCATGCCCGACGACCGGCCGGTCACCGCAAGTCTGGGCGTTGCCGCGATCGGCGATGACGGGATCGCCGGCGCGCTGATTGCCGCCGACCACGCGCTCTATGATTCCAAGGAAGCGGGACGCAACCGGGTTACGGTCGCCGGTGCCGAACATGTGCATGGTCATGCAAGCCGAAGGGGCGGACGCCGCAGCGCGTAAAGCCGGGGCCGTTCTAAAGCGGCAACAGCGTGTCGACGATGTACAGCCAGACGGTCACCGAGACGACCGACAGGGCGGTCGCCAGCAGCAGGGTCGATGCGGCCAGATTGACCGCACGGTCGTAAAGGCTGGCGAAGATGTAGATGTTGACGCCGGGCGGCATGGCGGCCAGCGCCACGGCGGCGTGGACGGCCGTGCTCGACAGACCGAACACATGATGGGACAGGAGGAACGCGATCGCCGGGTGGACGATCAGCGCAAAGCCCGACGCGGTCAGCGTTTCGGGCAGCGCCGCCGTCAGCGTGTAGCGTGTCAGGGCGGCGCCGATCCCGACCAGCGCCACCGGGATCGCCGCCGCAGCCAGCATGTCGACCGCCGCCTGCACCGGTTCAGGCAGGACGATGCCGGTGGCATTGACGCCCAATCCCGCCAGGATTCCCGCCATCAGCGGATTGGCGAGGATCGATTTGAGAGCATCGGTCAGCGCTTCGCGCAGCGTCCGGCCGTCGCGCCGCATCAGCTCCATCGTTATCATGCCGACCGCATAGATCAGCGGTGCATGCAGCGCGATGATGCCGAACGCCATGGTGACCGTCTCGCCGCCATAGGCACGTTCGACGATCGGCAGCCCGAGCAGGACCGAGTTGGAGAATGTGCCGGCAAAGCCGACGGCGACCGCCTCGCCGGGGCGGCGTTTGAACACTGTCCGCGCGACGATGATGCCGCCGGCAAAACAGACGAACGCGCCGGTATAGAAGCTGACAAGAAGCTGTGGCGAGAAGGCCTGCCCGAGGTCGAGCCCCGCCATGGCCCGGAACAGGAGGACCGGCACCGCGATGCGGACCGCAAAAATGTTCAGCGCGTCGGCGAAATTGTCCTTCAGATAGCCCGACCGGACCGCGCCATAACCGACCCCGATCAGGATGAAGACGGGGAGAACGGTCAGCAGGATGTCGAGCATGGGACGCGGCGGCCTGACGGGAACGATGACCGTTCAATAGGCCAGGTACTTGCCGAAAGCGAGCCGCATGCGGCCGCCGGTCAGGTGCGCGTTGCCTCGCCGTCGACGACGGGACCGTCCCCGGCATCGGCAGGGCCTGCGGTGTCGATGTCTTCCTCGGCCAGTGCCTTGCGGGCGGCGGCGCGATGGGCGTCGGTTATGTTGCCTTTGACGGCGGCGAACGCTGCGGTCAGAACGGCGATGTCGTCGCCGAAGCCGAAGGTGAGCAAGAAATCGGGAATGGTGTCGAGCGGCAGAATGAAATAGGCCAGCGCGGCCAAAAGGATGCCGCGCACGCGCGGCGGCGTCTCGGGATCCATCGCGCAGAAATAGCCCGCAACGACCTCGTCGATGAACGGGATCATCCGCGCATAGCGCTTGACCTTGGGCCAGAACTTGCTGCGCACCTTCTGTTCGCGCCGGGATTGGGTCTCTTCCGTTCCCGGCTCCAGAATCTCACCGATCTTGACGTCGTCCATCGCACGCCCTCCTCGGCGTGACATGGGCGCGCCATGCAGTCGTTTCAAGCGCTCCGGCTAGCCGGCCGCCTTGTTCATGGCTTCGGCAAGCGCGATGTCGAGCGCGGTCACGCCGCCCGAATCGTGGGTGGTCAGCCGCACGTCGACCCGGTTGTAGACGTTGAACCATTCGGGATGGTGATCCATCTTTTCGGCCGTCAGTGCGGCGGCCGTCATGAAGGCGAACGCTTGGGTGAAGGTGCCGAACTTGAACGTCCGGGTGACCGCCTTGCCGTCCTCCTCGGCGGTCCAGCCCTCCAGCGTTTCGAGCGCCGTTGTCAATTCGTCGGTCGTAAGGCAGGGTTTGGGCATGGTCCGGGCTCCGATCTTCGATGTCCGGTCAGTTTAGGGGATCGGGCAACAAGGGAAAGCCGGCGATGCGGGTTCTTTTCGTGTGCCTGGGCAATATCTGCCGGTCGCCGCTGGCCGAGGGCGTGTTCCGCGCCGAGGCGGCGCGCGCCGGCCTGTCGGATGGGCTGAGCATCGATTCGGCGGGCACCGGGAACTGGCATGCGGGCGAAGCGCCCGATGCGCGGGCCATCGCCGTGGCCGCCCGGAACGGCATCGACATTTCCGGCCAGCGGGCCCGGCAGATCAGCCGCGACGATTTCCACGCCTTCGACCTGATCCTGGGCATGGACCACAAAAACGTGCAGGCGCTGACGCGGATGGCCGCTTTCGACAACAAGGCGACGATCGATCTGTTTCTGGGCCACGCCACCGGCAAGAGCCGCGATGTCGCCGATCCCTATTACGGGGCCGAAGCGGACTTCGAGGCGGTCTATTGCGACATAATGGCCGGCGCCGCCGCGCTCGCCGCCGTACTGGCCGGGAAGCTGTCGCGCGACAGCGGGTAGCTTTCCTCGACAATGTAAGGCCCGCCGCCAACCGAATCGCGCGAGGACATAAGCGTGAAATGTTCGACCTTGAAGGATGGCACGAAGAAGCCGCCGCGCACCGACAGATAGTTGGCCACTGCCTGAGGCGTGACGTTGCGCAAGCGCGCCAGCGTCACATGTGGCGTGAATTTGCGCGGGTCGGGCGCAAGGCCCAGGCGCCGGCAGATGCGTGCGATTTCCGCCTGAAGATCGATGAGATCCGGCGAGGCGGTGGGAACGGCGAACAGCGAATGCGGCTTCTTGCCACCGAATGCGCCAAGGCCCGACAGGCCGAGCGAGAAGGGCCGCCGGTGCACGCGCTCGAGTGCATGGGCGATCTCGTCCGCCATGTGGTGTTCGATGTCACCGATGAACCGCAGCGTGAGGTGGTAGTTCTCCATGTCGATCCAACGGGCACCGGGCAGGCCTCCGCGAAGCATCGACATGTGGGTTGCGGCATGGTGAGGGATTTCGAGAGCGGCGAAAAGGCGCGGCATGGCAGTGTCCCCTCGTTTCGAGCGGTGGGCTTTGCCATCGCGCGGACCGCAAATCACCCCCGCCTTGATGCAAGCGAATCACGCATGCGCGTGAAGCGCAAGGTGATTTTCCGATACGATTCGTTAACGATTTCCGTCAGCCGGCTTCCTTCCCGGACAGGTAGGTCCGCATCAGCGGCAGGAAGCGTTCGACCATCTGCGCAACACCGTCGACCGTGGGGTGGATGCCATCGGCCTGCATCATGCCGTCGACCGTGATCGCGCCGTCCAGAAAGAACGGGTAGAGCGGTACGTCATGGGTTTCGGCAAGGTTGGCGAAGATCGCGTCGAACCGGTCCGCATAGTCGCCGCCCATGTTCGGCGGCGCGCGCATGCCGGCAAGGATCACGTCGATATCGCGTTCCTTGAGCCGTTCGATCATCGCATCCAGATTGGCGCGCGTCACATCCGGCGAAATGCCGCGCAGCGCATCATTGCCGCCAAGCTCCAGGATGACGAAATCGGTACCGTCGGGCACGGACCAGTCCAGACGTGCCAGGCCGCCCGAGCTCGTGTCGCCGGAGACGCCCGCATTGGTGATCGCGACATCGAACCCCTCGGCCCGCAGCGCGGCTTCGAGCTGTTCGGGAAAACCGGTGCCGGCGGGAAGCTGATAGCCGGCCATCAGGCTGTCGCCAAAACCGACGCCGCGCACGGTCTCGGCCTTCGCCGGCAGCGTTGCCAGACCGAACGCAAATCCGGCCGCGGCAAAAAAGCGTAGGAACTGTTTGAACATGCGCGACCGTCTTCCCATTTACCGATGCAACCTTTGCCGCTCCATATAGGTAGTTCTTCCCGTGTCTGAACCCGTCATCGCCCTCGACCGCGTCAATCTCACACTCGGCTCGGCGGCAAGCCAGGTTCAGGTACTCAAAAATGTCAGCCTGTCTGTCCCCCGGGGCGAGGCGGTCGGCATTGTCGGCCCGTCCGGCTCGGGCAAGACGACGCTTCTGATGGTGCTGGCCGGGCTGGAGCGGCCCGACAACGGCAGCGTCGAAGTGGCCGGCGCCCGGCTCGACCGAATGAGCGAAGACGAAATCGCCCGGTTCCGCGGCCGCAATATCGGCTTCGTCTTCCAGTCCTTTCACCTGATCGCCAACATGACGGCCCTTGAAAACGTCGCCGTGCCGCTTGAGCTGGCCGGCACGGACGATGCGTTCGACCGCGCGCGCGCCGAACTGGAAGCCGTCGGCCTCAAGGACCGGCTGACCCATTATCCCGGCCAACTGTCCGGCGGCGAACAGCAGCGCGTGGCCATTGCCCGCGCGCTGGCGCCCGAACCGGCGATCCTGATCGCGGACGAGCCGACCGGCAATCTCGACCAGGACACCGGCCGGCAGATTGCCGATCTTATCTTTCACACGCAGAAGAAGCGCGGCACGAGCTTCGTCCTCGTCACCCATGACGCCGCGCTGGCCGAGCGCTGCGACCGGCAGGTTCGCGTGCGCTCCGGCGAAGTGTTCGCGGGCGAGGCCACCGCCAAAGTGGCCGCCGAGTGATGAACGCATTGCCCGACCAGATCGCGGTCGCCTTCCGGTTCGCGCTGCGCGAGGTGCGCGGCGGGCTTTCCGGCTTCTACGTCTTTCTGGCCTGTATCGCGCTGGGCACCGGTGCGATCGGCGGCGTCAATGCGGTGGCGCAGGCGATCACCCAGGGCATCCAGTCCGAAGGCCGGTCGATCTTGGGCGGCGACATCCGTTTCGAGCTTGTCCACCGGACAACGACGCCCGAAGAGCTGGCGACGCTGCAGGCGATCGGAACCGTTGCCCAGAGCGCCAATACGCGGTCGATGGCCCGGCTCGAGGATCAGTCCGACCAGACGCTGGTCGAGATCAAGGCGGTCGATGAACTCTATCCGCTCTATGGCGCGTTCGAGACCGAACCGGCACTGGCGCAAGCCGATTATGCGCTGACCGACGGCGCCTGGGGCGTTGCGGTCCAGCCGATCCTGCTCGAAAGGCTTGGTCTTTCGGTCGGTGACACGATGTTGATCGGCGACGCCCGTTTCTCGATCCGCGCGACGATCGCGCTGGAACCCGATGCGCTGTCCGACGGCATCGGCCTTGCGCCGCGTATCGTCATGTCGCTCGATGCGCTCGAAGCGTCGGGGCTGATCCAGCCCGGCTCGCTGGTCGAGCGGGTCTACAAGCTGCGCACCGATCCGGGCACGACCGACGCGCAACTCAGGGCCGCGATCGACGAGGCCAACGAAGCCCACCCGCAGGCCGGGTGGTCGGTGCGTACCCGCGCCAACGCAGCGCCCGCCCTTGCCGCCAACATCGAACGGTTCGCGCAGTTCCTCACGCTGGTCGGGCTCACCGCGCTCGTCACCGGCGGTGTCGGTGTCGCCAACGCAGTGCGGGCGTTCCTTGATTCCAAGCGCGACGTGATCGCGACTTTCAAATGCCTTGGCGCACCCGGGCGCCTCGTTACGCTGATCTATCTGTTCCAGATCCTGATGGTTGGCGCAGTGGGCATTGCCATCGGTCTCGTGCTGGCTGCAATCGCACCCATCGCTGCGGCCGCAGCTCTGTCCGGCATCGTGCCGCTGCCGGCGGGGGGCACGGGGCTTTACCCCGGCGCGCTGATGCTCGCGGTCATCTTTGCGGTGCTGACGATCTTCGTCTTCGCGCTGGTGCCGCTCGGCCGCGCGCGCGACATTCCCGCCTCCAACCTCTTCCGCAACCAGACCATGACCGAGCGTGGCCTGCCGCGCGCCGCCTATGTCGTCGGCGCCGGCCTTGCCGCCCTGCTTTTGACCGGGCTCGCCGTCTGGTTTTCCGAGGAGCGGGTGCTCGCCGCCGGCTTTCTCGCCGGCGTCGCCGCCGCCTTCCTCATCCTGCGGATCGTCGCCGATGGCGTTCAGGCGCTCGCCCGCCGCGTCCGCAACGTGCCGGGCACCTCGCTGCGCATGGCGGTCGGCAACATCCACCGCCCGGGCGCGCTGACCCCGTCGGTCGTGCTGGCGCTGGGTCTGGGCCTGACCTTGCTGGTCGCGCTGGCGCTGATCGACACCAATCTGCGCCAGCAGATCGCCGGAAACCTGCCCGAGCGCGCGCCCAACTTCTTCTTCGTCGATATCCAGTCCGACGTGGTCGACGATTTCGCAGAGTTGGTCGAGACCGAAGCGGGCGATGCCGGCAAGCTGGTGCGCGTGCCGATGCTGCGCGGGCGCATCGTTGAACTGAACGGCCAGAACGTCGCCGAAATGGAACTGCCGCCGGAGGGCGCCTGGGTGCTGCGCGGCGACCGCGGCATCACCTATGCGCAGAACGTGCCGGAGAATTCGAGCCTTTCGGCCGGCGAGTGGTGGGCGCCGGATCATGCCGGCGAAGCGCTCGTTTCGTTCTCCGCCGAAGAAGCGGGCGAATTGGGGCTTTCCATCGGCGACACCGTCACAGTCAATGTGCTCGGCCGGAACATCACGGCCACGATCGCCAATTTCCGTCAGGTCGAGTGGGAATCTCTGGCGATCAACTTCGTCATGGTCTTCTCGCCCAACACCTTTGCCGGCGCGCCGCACTCATGGCTTGCGACGCTGACCATGCCCGATGCCGATTTCGAGCAGGAGGCCGGCATTCTTTCATCGGTGACGCGCGCCTTTCCGGCGGTGACCAGCGTGCGCGTCAAGGACGCGATCGAACTGGTCAACCGCGTCGTCGGCCAACTGGCCTCGGCCGTCCGCGCGGCCGCGGCCGTTGCGCTGATCGCCTCCGTTCTGGTGCTGGCCGGCGCGCTTGCCGCAGGCAACCGGGCGCGGGTGCACGATGCGGTGGTCCTCAAGACGCTCGGCGCGACCCGCGGGACGCTGATCCGCACCTTCGTGACCGAATATGCGATCCTCGGCTTTGCCACGGCGGTCTTCGCGCTGCTGGCCGGCGGTGTGGCGGCGTGGTTCGTGGTCAGCCAGATCATGACCCTGCCATGGGCTTTCCGGCCGGAGATCGCCGCGATGACGATCCTTGCGGCGCTGGTCTGCACGGTGGGGTTCGGCCTTCTGGGCACTTGGCGCGTTCTCGGCCAGAAGGCGGCGCCGGTGCTACGCAACCTTTAACGATTTGTTCACCATGGTGCGGCGGTTTTTCCGCGTTGCGCGCATTTGCCCCACGTCTTTGCCGGCCCGGGCGACCGGAAATTCTTGTAAAAGCTGCCTTGGCGCCTCATATTACGCGCAGGCATGCTGGAGGTCCCGCCAGCGGCGCCTCGGTGCGCGCGATTTCGTGCGCGGCCGGACACCCGACGGGACGTGAAGGCTTAACGAGGACGAAATGGCTGAACTCCGTAACGTTCAATACCAGGCGGGCGCCGGCGCCCGCACCTATGACGCGAGCATCGATGAGGGCCTGCGGTCCTACATGATCCGCGTCTACAATCTGATGGCTCTGGCGATGGGCATCACCGCCCTTTTCGCCGCCGGCACCGTCATGCTTGCGACCACGAACAATCCGGCGGCCGCCGCTGCCTCGCTGCCGAACGGCACGATGCTGACGGCGCTGGGTACGGTCATCTACGGATCGCCCCTGCGCTGGGTCATCATGCTGGCGCCGCTGGCGCTGGTGTTCTTCCTCAGCTTCCGTATCGACCGGATGCAGACATCCACCGCACAGATCACGTTCTGGAGCTTTGCGGCGCTGATCGGCATGTCGCTGTCGTCGATCTTCCTGGTCTACACGTCGGCTTCGATCGTGCAGACCTTCTTCATCACGGCAACCGCCTTCGGTGCGCTGTCGCTCTACGGCTACACCACCAAGCGTGACCTGACCGGCATGGGCTCTTTCCTGCTGATGGGTCTGGTCGGCCTGATCCTGGCGATGATCGTCAACATCTTCCTGGGTTCGGGCGCGCTGCAGTTCGCGATCTCGGTGATCGGCGTTCTGATCTTTGCCGGCCTGACCGCCTATGACACGCAGAAGATCAAGGAAATGTACTATGTCGGAGACGGTGCCGCCGTTGCCGAGAAGAAGGCCATCATGGGCGCGCTGGCGCTCTATCTGGACTTCATCAACATGTTCCAGTTCCTGCTGATGTTCCTGGGCAACCGCGAATAACGACCGGTAACATCCGGACCGGATCGGGGCGGCCTTCGGGCCGCCCTTTTCTTTCGCGCGCAATTCTGGTTTCTGGCGGCAGCCGAAAAAATGCCAGCCGCCATGAACGCCTCTATTGCACTGAACGACACGATCGACGCGGACATTTCCGCGATCACCGCCATCTATGCGGACGCGGTGCTCAACGGCACCGCCAGCTTCGAACTGGACCCGCCGGACGCAGCGGAGATGGCGCGCCGCTTCCATGCCATCCGCCAGGCTGGCTATCCGCACATTGTCGCGCGCGACGGCTCGGGCGAACTGCTCGGTTACGCCTATGCGGGCAGCTATCGGGCCCGACCGGCCTATCGCTGGACGGTGGAGAACTCGGTCTATGTGGCGCCGTCCGCCAAAGGGCGCGGCGTCGGCAGAACGCTTCTGGCCGAGATCATCGCGCGCTGCGAAGCGCTCGGGTTCCGCCAGATGATCGCGGTGATCGGCGGGTCCGAGCATGCGGCCTCGATCGGCCTGCATGAGGCGCTGGGTTTTGCCCATGCCGGCGTCCTGCCCGCCACCGGCTTCAAGCACGGACGCTGGCTCGATTCCGTTCTGATGCAAAAGCCGCTCGGCGCCGGTTCGTCGATGCCGCCCGACCCCGACACCTATCCCGGAACGCTCTATCCGCCCGCCTGAGCGGACCGTCAGTTCGACTGGACGAGCCTGATCTGCTTGTCGAACAGTCTGAGCACCTGCGCCAGGTCATGGCCACGCTTGAGCACCATGCCCGAGGCGTTGATCACCGCGTAGGCGCCCTGCCTGCGGGCGAGCCTGGGGTTTTTCTCGATCCGATAGAGCGGCATTTCCGATGTCCGCCGGAAAACGGCGAAGACCGCCCGGTCCTTCAAATGCGAGATGCCGTAGTCGCGCCATTCGCCGCCGGCGACCATGAAGCTGTAGACCCGCAGGATCTGGTCCAGTTCGCGCCGTTCGAACCTGACCTCGTCCTGTTGGCGCTGGCGGCGCGCCTGGCTCAGCGCGACGACGTTGCCGCCACTCGCCCCCGCGCCATTGCCCCCCGCGCCCTGGCCCGGCTGCGCGTTCTCATCATCGGAACCGTTGATGGTTCGCCTCCCCGCAAATCAAATGACCGGAGGCCATGGTTGCCCGAAACACGATGGCGCGCAAGCCGTCGCCGGAGGGGTTAACGCATCGTAAACGGCAGGGTCACACTGTTCGTGATGCGGTTGGCAAGCGTGATGGCCTGCCCCGATTTCGCCGCAAGTCGAACACACCTGCGCCCGGATTTGTTTGAAAATGAACAGTCGCACGGGGGGCGGCTTCAAGCCCGGCCAGCCCGCCATGCGACACGCGGACCACCCCGCAAACAGGGTGCCCGCAAGGCCGGACCGGGGCGGTAATTGGACAATCTGTTGCCCCCAGCCCCGATGCCGTCCGGGTCCGGCCTAAACCGCTCCGATCAGCTTCTGTCGAAACCCTTCAGCTTGGCCGCGCCCATGATCGGGCCCGGCGCGCCATCGATCGCCGCCTGCAGAAGCACGGCGCAACCCGTCGCCTTGTTCTGCGCGATCTTGTCGCGCGGCAGGTCGATCTGCATCGCCTTGCCGTCCCACATGCCAAGCGTCTGCTGCGCCATGACGGCATTGGCATAGACCATGGTGCGGCCGGCATTTTCGCCGCGCGCGATCTCCACCTCGCTGCGGTCGCGATAATAGACGATCGTCAGCAGCATGTCGGCCCCGGCCGGCTTGATCCCGTCGCCGACCCCGACCGACAGCCGCCCGGCGCTCATTGCGACCATGACGGGCACCACCAGTCCGTTGCCGGCTGCCTCATGTTCGCCAATCAGGCCCCGGATCCGCGTCTTGTAGCCGCCATTGAGATGGTCGCGGCCATTGACCACCGCCTGCGGCGTATAGACCGATCGGCTGCCCAAGGTCCGCGCATAGGCGCGCTGGCGGGCCGTATTGTCGGCGCTGGCGAGCGTGTCCTTCCAGCCCAGATAGTCCCAGTAGTCGATATGGTAGCCAAGCGCGAGAACGTCAGGATCGGCGGCGAACTCGGCAAGCGCCGCATCCGCCGGCGGGCAGGAACTGCACCCCTGGCTGGTGAACAGCTCGACCACGCCGCTGACAGCCGCCGCGGCGCGGGCCGGGCCCGACGCGACCGCGGCAAGGGTTGCCGCCGTGCCGGCCAGAAGTGTTCGCCGGGTGATCATCGGCATGAATGGTTCTGCGCGCATGGACGAAACGCTACCGGGTCGGCGCTTCACCGGAAACTCACTTTCCGGTGAAACTTTGCCGTCCTGTAACCTCATTCGGCGGCCACCGCCACGGGCACGGTCTGCGCCCGGTCCGCATGGTCAGCGTCGATCCGCGCGGCGATCATGTCGGCGGTCGCCGCGCTGAGCGTCCATCCAAGATGGCCGTGGCCGGTGTTGTAATAGACGCCCGGCGCGCGGCCGGCGCCGACCTTCGGCATCATGTTGGGCATCATCGGCCGCAGCCCGGCCCATGGCGTGACGTGCTCGGTGCGCATGGCCGGGAAGTGCCGTTCGCACCATTTTATGAGCGGCGCGATCCGCTCGGCGCGGATGTCGCGGTTGAAGCCGGCAAACTCGGCCGTTCCGGCGACGCGGAACCGGTCGGCACCCAGACGGCTGGTGACGATCTTGGCGTCGTCGTCCAGAAGGCTCATCCATGGCGCCGCCTCGCGGCTTGCCGCGTCGGCCAGATCGACAGTGATCGAATAACCCTTGACCGGGTAGATGTTGACGCGGTCGCCGAGTTGGGCCGCCAACGCCCGGCTGGCCGTGCCCGCGCAGATCACGACGGCGTCGAATCGCGCATCGTGCGCCGACCCTCTGTGATCGAACGCAACGGCAACGCCGCCCTGATCGCGCGAAAGCCGTGTGATTGCGGCTTCGTTGACGAAGATCGCACCGCGCTTGACGGCCGCATCGGCAAGGCCGACGGAGAATTTGTGGATATCGCCGGTCGAATCGCCCTGCGTGTAGAAGCCGCCGAAAAACTCGCCTTTCAGCGCCGGCTCCAGCGCTCTTATGTCGGCCGGCGACACGGCCTCGCGCATGAGCCCGCCGCGCGCCAGCAGGCGGTTGACGTTCGCCGCATGCTCGAAGCCCGTGCGGTCGGCGTAGACATGCAGGATGCCGCGCCGTTCGAGATCGAAATCGATACCGGCGTCGCGCGCCATCGCGAACAGATGCTCGCGCGCGGCGATCGCCATGCGCGTGGTCGCCACGGTGTTGCGATCATGGTGCGGAATGCTGGCCAGGAACTCGGCCATCCAGGAATATTTGTGCCACGACGGTGCAAGTGAGAATTTCAGCGGAGCGTCGGCGCGCATCATCCATTTGATGCCCTTGACGACGTTGCTCCAATGGTTCCAGACCTCGGCGTTGGAAGCCGACAGCTGCCCGCCATTGGCAAAGCTCGTTTCCATCGCCGCATAGCGGTTCTTGTCGAACAGGGTGACATCGTGGCCGCGTCCGAGCAGCGACCATGCGGTGGTGACGCCGGTGATCCCGGCGCCGATGACTGCGATATGTGCCATATCCGGCTCCTGACGGTTCGGCCGGCCGCGCGCGGCGATCCGGTCCGTGCCCCATCTGTCAGGAAACCTGAGAGTTTTGCCCGCTCCGGCTCTGCGGATCGCACCGGACCATCCGGTGCTGGGCTTGCTCCTTCGGTGGACACGCCGTGGCGACGTGCCGCTCTCCAGATTTTCAAGGCGTCGCGCAGTCCTTTCGCCTGAGAGTTTCCGGGGCGGTTGCTCCTTCGGCGCCGGGCCAACCTCGACGGTTGCCCGGTCTCTCCCGCGCGACGCGGAATGGCTGCCGATACATCAAAGCATCGATCCGTGCAATACTGGTCTCGCGTCACGACAGGCGTTAAAGCAGGCCAGCATTTGTGATCGGGTCGCGTTTGTCACAAATGTCACATTGAGCCCCTAGGGGAAGCGCGACGCAACGAATCGGGACCACGATCATGAAAATTGCAGTTCTGGGCGGTGACGGATTTGTCGGCTGGCCGACCGCGCTTCACCTGTCGGCCAAGGGCCATGACGTCCACATCATCGACAATCTGTCGCGCCGCTGGATCGACACCGAACTGGGCGTGCAGTCGCTGACGCCGATGGATTCGATCCAGGAGCGCACCCGCATCTGGCACGCCGAGACCGGCCGCCGCATCCATTTCCACCTGATCGATCTGGCCCGCGACTATGACGTGCTCAAGGGCTGGCTCGCCGAGCACCGCCCGGACGCGATCGTCCATTTCGCCGAACAGCGCGCCGCGCCCTATTCGATGAAGACCGACCGGCACAAGAACTACACGGTCAACAACAACGTCAACGCCACGCACAATCTGCTCAACGCGATCGTCGAGATCGGCATCGATCCGCATCTGGTGCATCTGGGCACGATGGGCGTCTATGGCTATTCGACCATCGGTGCGGCAATCCCCGAGGGTTATCTGCCGGTCGGCATCGAGACGATGGACGGCGATACGGTCACCCAGGACATCCTCTATCCGGCGAACCCCGGCTCAATCTACCACATGACCAAGTGTCTCGATCAGTTGCTGTTCCAGTTCTATGCCAAGAATGACGGGTTGCGGATCACCGACCTGCACCAGGGCATCGTCTGGGGCACGCACACCGCCGAGACGAAGCTGCATCCGCAGCTGATCAACCGGTTCGACTATGACGGCGATTATGGCACGGTGCTCAACCGCTTCCTGATCCAGGCGGCGATCGGCCATCCGCTGACCGTGCACGGCACCGGCGGGCAGACGCGTGCCTTCATCCACATCCAGGATTCGGTGCGCTGCATCGAGCTGGCGCTTTCCGACGCGCCGGCCAAGGGCGACAAGGTCAAGATCTTCAACCAGATGACCGAGACGCACCGGGTGCGCGATCTGGCCGAAATGATTGCCAGGATGACCGGCGCGAAGATCGCTTTCCTGCCCAACCCGCGCAAGGAAGCCGCCGAGAACGAGCTTGTCGTCAAAAACGAGCAGTTTCTGGCGCTCGGCCTCGAGCCGATCACGCTCGCCGAAGGACTGCTCGAAGAGGTCGTCGATGTGGCCAAGAAGTTCGCCTACCGCGTCGACCGGTCGCGCGTGCCGGCGGTTTCGGCCTGGACCAAGGACATCGCCAAGACCGTCGAGACCGACCCCGAGGGCAAGCGCCTGAAAAGCGTGTCCTGATCGCGAGCCCAATGACCGGATCCGGCGGTGCGCCGCCGGGTCCGCATCCCGCCATGGCCAAGCACGCCTATATCACCCTTGTCACCAACCCCGACTATGCCGGCGCGGCGATCGCGCTCGTCCGCTCGCTGACGCTGACGGGCACCAAGGCCGACATCGTCGTCATGGCGACCGGCGGTGTGACGGCGGCCGATCTGGCGCCGCTTTCCGATCTCGGCGCCATTATCGTGCCGGTGGACCTGCTCGACACGTCGCCCGCCTTCAACGAACGCCATGGCCGGGCGAAGCTGCATGCCGACGCGCCCTTCACCAAGGGCAACAAGCCGGCCTTTCACACGCCGCTCGACAATTTCGCCAAGCTGCGCCTGTGGCAGATGGAGCAATATGACAGCGTCGTCTTTCTCGATGCCGACACGCTCGTCGTGCGCAACATCGACCGGCTGTTCGCCTATCCCGAATTCTGCGCGGCGCCGAACGTCTATGAGAGCCTCGCCGATTTCCACCGTCTGAACTCGGGCGTCTTCACCGCCCGACCATCGCGGGCGACGTTCGTGGCGATGATGGCGCGGCTCGACGTCGCGGACGCCTTCTGGCGCCGCACCGACCAGACATTCCTTGAGGCCTTCTTCCCGGACTGGCACGGCCTGCCGGTGACCTACAACATGCTGCAATATGTCTGGTTCAACATGCCGGACCTTTGGGACTGGAAAAGCGTGCATGTGGTTCACTACCAGTATGAAAAGCCATGGCAGGCGGACCACCCGAAACGCGCCCAACTGCGTCCGCTGATCGATCTGTGGCAGGCGTATCGCACGGGCGAGGCGATCCCCGACATCGACACGCTGCCCAATCCGTCGCCATGACCACCGTCCTTATCTCGGGGGCGACCGGGCAGGCCGGTCGCTTCATCGCCGAGGAATTCCTCGCCACGGGTGCCGACGTGATCGTCATGGGCCGCACATGGCCGCCGGCCGGCTTTTTCTCCGAACCGGCCGAATGGGTCGCCGGCGATCTCGATCCCGACCATGATTTCGGTCCGGCCTTCGACGGCGCCGATGTTTTCGTCCATTGCGCGTTGGCCCATGTACCGGGGAAGTATCGCGGCGGCGAGGGCGACGATCCGGAGGGTTTCCGCCGCGCCAATGTCGACGGCACGCTGGCGCTGATGGCGGCGGCCAGGCGCGCCGGCGTCGGCCGCGCCATCTTCCTGTCCTCGCGCGCGGTGTATGGTCCCAAACCGCCGGGCACGGTGCTGACCGAGACGAGGCCGTGCGCGCCCGACACGCTCTATGGTCAAACCAAGCGCGCCGTCGAGATCGCGCTCGCCGGCATGGCGTCCGACCGGTTCCTGCCGCTCATCGTGCGCGCCACGGGCATCTACGGCCCCGCCGGGCCGGGCCGGGCGCACAAATGGGCCGGCCTGTTCGCCGATTTTGCGGCGGGCAGGGCGATCGCGCCGCGCATCGGCACAGAACTGCATGGCGAAGACCTCGCAAGCGCCGTGCAATTGCTCGCCACGCTGCCTGCCGACCAGCTCGGTGCCCACGGCCCGGCGCCGGTCTTCAACGCCTCCGACATTTTGCTCGACCGGCACGATCTGCTGACGGCTTATGCCGATCATGCGGGCATCGCCCACGCACCGCCGCCGCGCGCCGATGCCTCGGCCTTCAACGCGATGGACACGGCGCGGCTCACCGAACTTGGCTGGCGGCCGCGCGGCACGCTCGATCTGACGGGGCTGGCATGAGGCGGGCGCTCCGTTCATCGCGCCGCTTGCCTCACCCTTCGAGGCTCGCCGCCGATCCACCCTCATCCTGAGGTGCGAGCATAGCGAGCCTCGAAGGGCGAGGGATTGGCGCTCGCTCCTCAGGATGGGGCAAGCGAGCGCGCGACATCATCACCGCACCTCCGTCGGAAGCCGAGAGCATGTAGCCTCTTCAATCGCCCAAGGACTTGCGCTTCCCCTCGGGTCGAGCCCGAGGGTCGACGTGCGCCCTGGGCAAACGCAAAACGCACGTGGGCGCCAGCCCGCGCAAGATTTTGCGCCAGCTTCAAAAAGTCCAGAACAACGGGCGGTTTGGTGAGCCGCGATCCGACGTTTTTATGGTGCGGTCGCCAAACCGCCCGTCCGGCGGGCTTGCGGTGATCGCCATTTTGGCTGGCTTCGAAAACCTGTCCGCCTCGCCGGTCGCTCAGCGGGGTTCGAAGCCGTTTGCGGGGGACGCCCGCTCACCAACGCCGCCAGCCGATCGTCAGGCGTAACAGCGCGCCAAAACCTTCATTCCGCACCGGCGTGGGGATTCATCATCCAGCCATGCGACCGCTCGCACGGCCCGCCGGTCCACCGCCGCGCCCGCCGTTGGTGGTGGCCATCCGACGTTCCGATGGGCGCGGTGGGGCAAGTATGGGGGAGGGTGGAGGCGGTTGGATAAGTTTTTATGGGCATGCCGCACAAGAATTGCGCCACTAACGGGTCGCTTCCGGCCGTGGACCGCGGCACCGCAGGGCCATCGGCCCTTCACGGGCGCCCTGCCGGCGGGTTCTCGCAGTTCAATACCGGTTTCGGGCGGTGAAGGAGTGCCGGGCCTCAGAAACGGACGAAGTGGACATCAGCGCGAAACCGTCTAGACTTCGTATCGGTCCAAAGCGTTCGCGCCCGGCTGCGCGTCAACATGCTGATTGACCAGCCGGCACCTCTGCGGCGCGTGCGTTACGGGCTGCTGGTCCTCGTGAAGACATGACATGATTGGAAGAGGACCATGAGGGCCATTCAGTTCCATCGCTTTGGCGGGCCCGAGGTCTTGCAGCTGGATGAGGTGCCGGATCCGGCGCCGGGGCCGGACGATGTGATCATTGCGGTGAAGGCGGCGGGTGTGAACCCCGCCGACACCTATATGCGCAGCGGCACATACCGCATCCAACCGGAACTGCCCTGCATTCCGGGCGGTGACGCCGCTGGCGACGTGGTAGCGTTGGGCGAAAATGTCACCGGCTTGAAAATCGGCGATCGCGTCTTTTCGGGCGTCGCGATGGGGCTGGATTTTACCGGCTGTTATGCCGGGCTGGTCAAACGCCCCGCAAAACATGTGCTGCCCATCCCCGAAGGGATCAGCTATGCCGAGGCCACAACGTTTGGCGTCTCCTACGCGACCGCCCACTACGCCCTTTTTGCGCGTGGCGGCGCCAAAAGTGGCGAAACAGTCTTCATCCATGGCGCGAGCGGTTCGGTCGGCACATCTGCGATACAGCTGGCGAAACGCGCCGGTCTAAAAGTCATCGGCAGCGCAGGTTCGGAGGCCGGGCTCGCCCTGCTGCGCGGTGAGAACGTTGACCACGCTGTCAATCACAGAGAAGCGAACTACCTCGACGCCGTCAAACAAGCTTGCGATGGCGGCGGCCCCGATCTGATCCTGGAAATGCTGGCCAATGTGAATCTCGCCGCAGACATGGAAATTGCCGGACAGAATGGCCGGATCGTTGTGATCGGCAACCGGGGCGAGATCGAGATCAGCCCGCGCATGGCGATGATGAAGGAGCTCGATATCCGGGGCATCATGCTTTGGAATGCAACGGAGGTACAGCTCAGCGACATCATGGCGGACATTCTGGCCGCGGCGGCGGAAGGCGCCATCAAGCCCAAGGTGGGGCACCAGCTGCCTCTGGGCGAGGCGGCCAAAGCGCACGAACTCGTCCTTCAGCCGGGTAATGCGGGCAAGATCGTACTGATCCCGTAACTTGAGGAGGCTTCATGAACTATCCAGATTTCATTCAATCTCAACCGTCTCTGGATATCCCCTTCCCGGAAGACGCCGTCACAACGTCGGCGGTGCGCTCGGACGGTGCGCTGGTGGTCTTCTTCCATGTGCACAAGGATGTGGAAGTGCCCGAACACCAACACGGAGCCCAGTGGGGAACGCTCGTTCATGGCAGTCTGGAGCTGACCGTCGATGGTCACACCCGCATCTGCGGACCGGGCGACAGTTGGGACATTCCCGCCGGGACCCCACATGCCGCGATCTTGACGGCAGGCAGCCTTGTGATCGACGTGTTCGAAGAGACGGACAGATATCCCCTTAAAGACTGAGGCCAATCAAGAACCAAGAATGGCAGAAAGCAAAAAAACCCGCCGGTGTTTCCACCGGCGGGTTTGTTCAATTCAGAGCTGTGGGCGGTAAGGCTTAGGCCGCCAGATCCCGCAGGACGTAATGCAAAATCCCGCCATTGTTGACGTAGTCCAGTTCGTCCGCCGTATCGATGCGGCAGATCAGCGGCACGTCCTTTTCCGTCCCGTCGGCATAGGTGACCTTGGCGATCACTTTGTCGCGCGGCTTGACGTCGGCGAGGCCCTCGATGGTCACGGTCTCGTCGCCCTTAAGGCCGAGCCCGGCCCATGAGACGCCCTCGTCGAAGGTGAAGGGCACGACGCCCATGCCGACAAGGTTCGACCGGTGGATGCGCTCGAACGATTGCGCGATGACGGCCTTGACGCCGAGCAGGTTGGTGCCCTTGGCCGCCCAGTCGCGCGACGAGCCGTTGCCATATTCGCCGCCGGCGAAGACGACGAGCGGCACGCCTTCCTCGCGGTAGCGCATCGCCGCGTCATAGATCGGCAGTTCGTCCTTGGAGGGATAGTGGATCGTGTAGCCGCCCTCGCGGCCGTTTTCGCCCAGCATGTGGTTGCGGATGCGGATGTTGGCAAACGTGCCGCGCATCATCACCTCATGGTTGCCGCGCCGCGTGCCGTACTGGTTGAAGTCGGTAACGCTCACGCCATTGTCCATCAGATAGGCGCCGGCGGGAGACTGCGCCTTGATCGAGCCGGCGGGCGAGATGTGGTCGGTGGTGATCTTGTCACCGAACAGGCCGAGGATGCGCGCGCCCCTGATGTCGGAGATTTCGCCGGCGCCCTTGCCCATGCCCGCGAAATAGGGCGGGTTCTGCACATAGGTCGAACCGTCGTCCCAGGCATAGGTCTTGCCCTCGGGCACGGTGACCGCGCG